GTGGCCAGGGAGTGCAGTGGAGGATGGCCCAGGTGCTTGGGCCCTGCACCCCATGGGAGACCAGGAAAAGCACCTGGCTCCTGGCTCCTGCCATCGGATCAGCGCGGTGCGCCGGCCGCAGCGTGCTGGCCGCGGCGGCCATTGGAGGGTGAAGCAACGGCAAAGGAAGACCTTTCTCTCTTGTCTCTCTCTCTCACTGTCCACTCTGCCTGTCCAAAAAAAAAAAAAAAAAAAAAACAAAACAAACAAACAAAAAAAAAAAAAAAAACCCAAAAACCTATGCATGGATTTCAGCATTTATTTTTGGCACCCAAATTAACTTTAAATTCAGCTTTTCCCCACTCTCGTATGTCTGTCCCTCCCCTCAACACATACACACAGCTGATATTGATGTCCATTTTCTATGAGCCAACCTGAATTTCTGTGAACTCTGGTTTTCTTAAATATGGGCCCCAAAGAACCCTGGCTGAAGTGAAAGAGGCAGAAGTAGCTGTGATCTCTGACTGTGGCCCGTTTCCCTAGCCTGCCGGATCCACAATGCGGCAAGAGGATTCTTCATGCATTATGGCGACCACTGGTATCCAGCCTCTATAAAAATTCTCCTGAAGCCGGCGCCGCGGCTCAACAGGCTAATCCTCCGCCTTGCGGCGCCGGCACACCGGGTTCTAGTCCCGGACGGGGCACCGGATTCTGTCCCGGTTGCCCCTCTTCCAGGCCAGCTCTCTGCTGTGGCCAGGGAGTGCAGTGGAGGATGGCCCGAGTGCTTGGGCCCTGCACCCCATGGGAGACCAGAAGCACCTGGCTCCTAGCTTTGGATCAGCGCGGTGCGCTGGCCGCAGCGCGCCGGCTGCGGCGGCCATTAGAGGGTGAACCAACGGAAAAGGAAGACCTTTCTCTCTGTCTCTCTCTCTCACTGTCCACTCTGCCTGTCCAAAAAAAAAAAATTCTCCTGAGTATTTTTGGAATAAGAGAATAAACAGACGAATTTATAATTTTGCCAAAAGGAAAAAAAAATAAACAGATTCACTCTCTGAAATGATTTTCACTTTGCCAGGACTGGGACTTGAAGTGCACATCCCCCACTCTTGTCCTGGTCGGGTGTTGCCTTGGGGGTGGCAACTGGGTCCAGAAAATTGTCCTTGGTCGCCAGCCTCTTTCTCAGTCCCAATAAACAAGAGCCTGGAGGAGCAGCACCTGCCAAGAGTGCTGCTGGTCTTGGAAGTTCTCGTCTGAAGGGAAAGTGGAGACAGCCTGTTTCCTCTCTGAGGTCGTGAGTCTGTGTGTGCCAGAACAGGGGCTCTGGCATTTTCCACAAGGTCCTCTGATCATCTGATCCACTCCCTTAGCAGGCATGTACCGGCTGATGATACGCTGTGTAGGTGCAACCATATGGAATTGTTGTTTTTATGGGTATTAAGTGGTACTAGCAATTTCATATGGTTCAACCTACTAGAGGGTCTCCCTAAGCCAGTGTATGACTTAAGTTTTCTTCTGGTGGCATCAAATCCATCCAGATAACTCAGTTCTGATGGAAAACCCTACTGCCATTTGCAAAGGGGAGTCTGGGTCTGCCTGGGTTTCCTTCCGGAAACGGGGCACATGCCAGTTTCCACCACACACGTAATGACATGACGTGACTCTGCAAAGGGACAAGTCCTTGCGTCAGACCAGCTTCTCCACTGCAGAGAGTGTGGGGAACAGTAGTCAAGAAGACGATGTCTGAAAGAGAAAGCCGAGGCTCTGGGCACTTTTGACGTTGCACATGCAAGATATCAGCTCTAGACTGAATCTGCTCACCAGGAGTTACGAGGGCAATTCAGGAAGCCACCGATGGGGCTGGCTGTCTTTTTGGCCATAAGCAACCAGGTGGACATTAGCCACAGTGGCCAGCAGGCTGGGGCCAGGGCCTTCTTAGCTGTGGGGACTGTGAGCAGCATCCCCAGCCTCTCCCCACTAAATCCAGCAGCAGCCCCTCAAGGCAAACGGATGGCGTGTAAGGGAAACAGGAGTTTCCGACAAATCGTGAGCCGCACAAGCTACAAGCGAGCCCGGAGGAGTGACGTCGAGGGAGTTCTTAGAGTAGCAGGAGAGAACATTACCCGACCTTGACAATGGTATCCCTTCCAGCCTACCCCAAGACCAGAGAAGAAACCCTGGCTCACACAGGTGAAGAGACAGGGCCGGGACAGCGAGAGGGACCCCCTCTCCACCCCACTCTGGGCCTGTGCACCTCCTGACCTCCCAGTCTACGGCTTCACCGGCCCCTCCTTACCCTTCAGGTCTCTGCTTCAACATCACTTCCTCCCGCAAGGGTCTCTCCTTCTTCCCCTGCAGTGCCCGCCTCCCACCCTGCTGCTCAGTGGTGCCGTGTGGATGGCAGGGGTGGGAGGGTAGAGGTTGGTGTCCTACTTGTTTCTTCCATTAGAAAAAGGAGACCCGTGAGGACAGGGCGCCTGTCTCCACCGAGTGCCGCACCCTCCTCAGAGCCCAACAGGGCACCCGAAACTTGGTAGACATCTCCTCCCACAATACATTTCTCAACAGAACGGCAGGGGAGGCCACATGAGGGACGTTCATGAGGATGGGCTCAAGCGTGTGGACATCGCAGCGAGCCCTCCCAGCAACGTGTGCGTGGGTTTATTTCTGCAAAGGCGACGAGAGGGGAGTGTGCCAGGGTGGAGCGGATCCTCAACAACAAATGGACGCTGTGCAGGGTCCCATCCTCACCCACGTATCTCTGGGGCATTTACCGGTTCCTCATTAAGGATCAGTCCTTTGGACAAGTGTTTTGAACCCTGAGCCAAACCACGTCCCTTGCCAATGTGTCAACAACTTATAGCCAAAGCCTAAAGAGACGGTTATCTGCTAGGCTGGGTGGTAGAGTTCCATGCTTCACAACCGGTGTTACAGGGAATGATCGCTCGCCCACACACTGATCGGGGGAGGCCTGGTCCATAAACACTCGTGAGGATTGATTGTGTCTATGTTTCACAGAGCACAGGTCACAGGCGCCACGCGGGCAGCCTGGTTTCTCATCACCACTGCCAGCTTCCAACATCAAGAACACAGAGACGTTTCCATCTAACTTTTATATGAAGAATTTAATTAGCTATACACGTAGCTAGGTCAAAAGGTTGTATTACAGTCGTTAAAGCCGCAGGTTTATATATTTATATATTTTACATTCATATTCGTGGAAATACTGAAGCGCAATGTTAACGAGAGGCAGCCCTCGTTCCCTGCACCTTGTGTGTGGGGAGTTGGGGGAGGGAGGGAGGGAGGAGGAGGAGGAGGAGGAGCTACCCACAACCGGGGGCAGGCTCCCGAGAGCGAGCCGAGGACCAGGAGGGATCGACGAGTGACAAAGGCATCAGCAGGACAGCTGGACTGGGCTTGAGGCTCCCCCGCCCCACTTTCTGTGCTGTCAGCGAAACAGGCTTTTTTTTTTTTTTATTGAGAGCGTCCAACTAGTGTTTAAAAGACAAACATGGCTTCAGCTACAGCACAGCTAACACATAAACGGACCACGAGCTCCATTTCATATTAATCTGTAGAAACTCCACAGTCTAGTTAAAAAATGTAAACATTGGAAATTAATTGCAAGGAGACTTCTATACATTCTTTCTTGTCAAGAAAATTACTTGTTCAAAATATGTCATTCCATGAAACGCAACTGGAATAAAACTTCATGTAACAGAGACAAAAAAGAGATTGTAGGTATTGTCCATCACAACAACCTCCGTGGTGTCGTCTACTGGTTTATGGCATGAAACACGCGGAATTAAGAAACCCAAACAAAACACCAACTCAACCAGATAAAACTGAGACCGAACTAAGACACAGGTGCTTTCTCACATGGCTACAAAGTCACTGTGCAAAATAAAATCAATGCAACATGATTAGAGCATCATACAAGGTAACAGCTTTTGCCATGGAAAGAACTCATTTCGTATGTACAGGATGTAATACATGCTCAACAAAGTACAGCTGATACACACAACAAGCACAAAACACCTTCAGTTTAACTGGGCTCACTCTACACGTCTTTAGAACAGATACTGAACTCCTCTGCACTTGGGGGGAACCCCACACTACACAATTGCGTTTGGTAACACTGGACAAAATGAAAGAAATACATCAAGTCTCAGATTCCTGGACATTGGAACAATTTCAATAGCACATGCAGCATTCCTTGATAGTGGGTCTTTTTGCAAAACCAAAATAGTCAAGAAGTAATTGATTTCTGTTTTTATTAAAAGGCTAAAATATATATTTTAAAAATAATATTTTTAAAACTATTGAAAGCACCTGTGCAAAGGTGGGGGGAAGTCAATTTGAGTAACTAGGAAAGCCACAAAAGGACCCACTACCCTGTGTATTTTTTGTAATTTTTGCAACTATCTCTGCAAGTAATAACTCAGACATTGCGATCACATGCAACTAAGGTAAAATGAGGTAAACTGCTCTGCAGTGAGTTCTTCTACTCAGAAGGCAGTAGGTGATCATGCTGGAAGCCACATGATCAAGGCTGCATCTCCCATCATCCCTCTGGGCAGTGATATGGGATAGTGGGTCTCTTTGAGGACTTTCAAGCCTGAGGGGGGGATGGACAACATATGATTCCTAGAAAAAGGAGGAAAACAACACATAAGCAAAACAAAACAATGAGCAAAATTCAAGCTAGGAAAATGAGTCAGGCATGTAAACAGCATGGTGCCAAAATGATTAAAAAAAAAAAAAAAAAAAACAAAGGAAAGGGGGGAGGGTAGGAAGGGGGCATGCTACAGAGGGAATGAAAATTAAAAACAAAACCAAAACCAAAACCAAAATCCCACGAGCTAAAGTCTTGCATTATAGAAGGCCTTCAAAGAGACTGTTGCGAATGCAGCAGTGGTCTGGCTTTAAGTTCTGCAAACAAAGCTCGGCAGAATCAGAGCAATGCTGCATGTTTCACCGGAAGGAACCAGAGAGGAGAGGCGACTGAGCACCAGGGCACTTACATTGCTGGCTTGGGTCCATGTCTGTGGTCAGCTTCACGTAATTGGATGGGAAGAGCCCCACTTGTCCGTTCACTTCTCCTTTCCACCAGTCGGGGTCCTCCTTGTTGAGGACGTTGATGATCTGGCCCTTGTTGAAGGCCAGCTCGTCGTCGTTCTGCGCGGTGTAATCGTACATCCCGATCACCTGGCACACTGTGGGAGAAAGGGCTGGGTGAGCAGTTACGCCCGTGCCACAGGGGACGTGCAGCCAGGAGACACTTTCATGGATTATTTTTGTCCTTTCAAAGGAGGAAATGATGGCGCTGACACTGCGGTGCAGTGGCTAAGCCTCTGCCTGCAGTGCTGGCAGCCCACATGGGCGCTGGTTCGTGTCCCGGCTGTTCTTCCTCTGATCCAGCTCTCCGCTGTGGCCTGAGAAAGCAGTAGAAGATGGCCTAACTGCTTGGGCTCCTGAACCTACGTGGGAGACTGGGAAGAGGCTCCTGGCTTTGGATTGGCCCAGCTCTGCCCATTGCAGCCATTTGGGGAGTGAACCAGTAGATGGAAGACCTTTCTCTCTGTCTCTAGCTCTACCTCTCAAATAAATTAATTAATTAAATTCTAAAAAAAAAAGGGGGGAAGACAATGAAGTGGAAGTGTCCTGATGGGCTTTCCACAGTGCAGGCAACAGAGAGAGGAAGATGAAGGATTAAAAACCAAAGACGGTAGCAAAATTTTCACCCTCAGTGTCCGGTTTCTGTAATATCTTCCTCTTTTCCATGCTGACTCGTCAGAAGACGTGCACAAGTGGTATGTGAGTGCTTTCACGGAGCGCAGTGCAGGTCCTCATGACGCTGACTCAGGAGCCGGGCCCAGCACCCACCCCACGCTCTGCTGCACGGACAGCTGGGGACCATGGAGGCTGCACTGCCATTTTCCTTTCTTTTTTAAATGGTGGAAGGTGATTATCATTTGACCTCCAAATATTCTAAATCTTAGTGAAAAGTAAAACCAGTGCTTCAGAAGATCATTCTGTTGTATCTTTGTTCTCAAAACTTTGTTTCAAAGACGTTTCCACAACCCACAATGACTGTTCTCCCCCTGTTTTCCTCTCAAACCTAGAGGATGTTAAACTGTCCTCATCCCTGGCATCTCCACACCTTAGTCTGTGCTGTTGGGTCACCGGGCCCAGTCAATCTTTCCCAGCCCACCTATGCATGGGTTCAGGCCTTTCTCAGCCTGCAGTCAATTCAATCACTCCAGCAAATGGTTTCCGAGGCTCTCAGCCGACCTGATGAAGGTGCCATGCCCTTAGCATGCTGGGACAATGCCAGCTCTCCCCAGGGCACGGCAGACCCACCAGGTCCCACACCCCTCTCCCTGCCCGTGAACCCTCGGCTCAAGCACAGAGGCCCAGCTGGGGTCAGGACTCAGTCCCAGAGTTTGCTGATCCTTTCATTTCTTGCCACTGTAGCCAAGTTTTAATCTTACTTGATTGAGGATGTGTAGCACAGACATTTAACTTCAAGACACTGGAACCAGATTTCCATATTTTCTACAAATGCCACCCAAGAAATGTTGGCTTCAATACCCAAGCTCCCCTAATCTCACTTCGTTCGAATATTACTGATGCATCTAATTTAGTCTCTTCAATCAGAAAGCAGCCAAGTGGGTCACTGTGGTGCTCTGTCCTTTTCCTGCCCCTAGGAAGGTGTGCAAACATCCTGTCTACTCGGTGAAACCCCCTCTGTTCACAGCAAAGTGTCATGGGGCAGAGTTTTCAGTGTGCAGTGGATACCACGTCACAACCAGCAGGCCTCCCTGGCCTCCAGGCTCAACCTCCTGACCTATTTACCCCCCAGCCATTTATTTTTAGGGGTCTCTGTTGCCTCAGCCCCAGCCCACATCCCAGTTGAATTAGCTGGAAGGCAATCAAGAGAAAACTCTGGCTGTAACGCCCCAGCATGCATGACTCCTAGGAGAGTTCCAACAAGACAGAGCAGAGCTGCTTAGAGATTTGGTCCTTTTGAAAAACATATTCTGTATCACATTAGCTGGGTGCCAGGCCTGGTAGAGAAGGGCTTCAAGTACACAAGAACACAGTCTAAGACACTTGATGGGAAAACCAAGGAGAAAAACAAAAGTGATGTGCGGATCATCTTCCAATGACAGGCCGCAAACTCCTTACCTGCGGGCAACGCCGCGGACTTGGGTGGCTCCGTTGGAGTGATTTTGCTCGTCCCAGGACTTAGAAGTTTTACATAATTAGCTGGGAACCAGCCTATCTGGCGCTTTTTTCCACGTGCCTAATGAGAAATAAATTATGTTAGAAGGGTTGAAAAGGTTCATGTTCTTTGATGATACAGTTTGCTTTGTGGCACAGCACTTATGCCAACTTTACACAAAACTGAAAAAAGAAATGGCATTAGCAGTAGAACCACTGGGTTACGTGTCACCAAAACCACACACTGTAGTCAACATTCAAATCGTGGCAGCCATCGGTCAGCAAAGTCGGGGCTATTTTGGCTTGGGCCAGAGGGTGCAGATCCCAAATTCCGTATACACTGCTGTGTGTCCAGGACAGAATATGCTGCCCATGTATCACCAGCCCTCAGGCACTACCTCAGGTACTGCAGAGCTGTGCTTAACGCCAACATTATGCATGGGTGTCAGGAACAGTAACACCAGCCACCAACACCTACTGAGCGCCTTCTGAGTCAGGCGCCCTACTAAGTACTATACATGACTTGATCCACACAATTCCAGAAGGTTAGTACCAATATTATTCCCCATTTTAGATGAAGCAAGCAAGCCTTGGAAAAGTGACTGTCCTGACGTTACTGGCTAGTCAGTAGCAAGCGGACGCCTGTGTTCTTCTTCATGGGTAGCATACAACCTCGGGTGCAAGGTAACGCACGAGCAGTGTGCACAGGACACAGGGAGCCTTGAAATTGCTTTCAAAAACCTGCAGGCTCACAGGGTGGCTGCAGCACTTTTCATTGCCATTCCTTTCTCTTTATTTCAACGTGACTCAACACAAGATCCATCTATTGAGTGTCCACAGGTGGGTTTTGCTGCAAAGGGTGAGGACGTGGCATGGAGGGGGGCCAAGGCTTGCAGGTATGACACGCCGCCATGAAAAGGCTCTTGCTGGGGGGCACGAGGAGAGTTACGAGCCCTCTTCTGCAGACCATCATGAGAAGAACTCAGAACAACTGTACACACACACACACTCTCACACACACAAACACACAACACCGCACAGAACACCTCCACTAAGAAGGCTCTGGGCCGGCACCACGGCTAACTAGGCTAATCCTCCGCCTGCGGCGCCGGCACCCTGGGTTCTAGTCCCGGTCGGGGCGCCGGATTCTGTCCCGGTTGCTCCTCTTCCAGGCCAGCTCTCTGCTGTGGCCTGGGAAGGCAGTGGAGGATGGCCCAAGTGCTTGGGCCCTGCACCCACATGGGAGACCAGAAGGAAGCACCTGGCTCCTGACTTCAGATTGGCACAGCGCGCCAGCCGTAGCAGCCATTTGGGGGGGGTGAACCAACAGAAAGAGGAAGACCTTTCTCTCTCTCAAACTCTGCCTGTCATAAAAAAAAAAAAAAAAAAAAAAGGCGGCTCTGATAAAAACAGTTGATGGTAGGGACAGGGGCGGGAGGGAGACATTTGTATCCCCTTTTGTAACTTTTGAATTTTAAACCACGTGAATGCATTACCTATTCCAAAAATAATGAAAAAGAAAACTTCCATCCCTCACCTCTGCCCGTCCACTTGCCCATTTCCCAAGGCCACCTCTGGGATACTTTTAGAACTCAGATCGCAGATCAAGTTTCACTTTCTTGCGGTCTGATGGACTGCATGCCCTTGACCCAAGGACTAAAGCTTTTAATTCCACAGTGAACCTGCCAAAGACTGAAGCCACGTGTGTGCCAGTTCCAGCTGCTTGTCTTTCCGTGCGCCACCCCACGGTTCACAGCTCCACTCTTCCCGCACCTCTGTCTGCAGTTTTACAGGACAGAAGAACACGGCTCACTCGTCTTTTCCTTGGGTGCTTACGCTGAAGTCACTCTGGTCAAAGCTCCAGAGAGAGTTACCCTTGGCATGGCGAGTCTCTCACTTTGTTGTGGGCTTCAGGAACCATCCCAAACTCTCTTCTGAATAAGGTGCTTGGAGCATAAAAAACATGGCTTCTGCCTTCAAGGAGCTGACCACTTACACTGGAATGTGCATGGGAAGCTAAGTACTCAGATCAGCACCCACGGTGGCAAACCAAAGAGTGGGGCAGGCCCGGGGCCGCCCTGGAGCGCAGAGGAAGCAGACAGTGGGGCTGAGATGCTCACTGAAAGCTTCCAGAGCTGGGACGCAGCCTCTCTTGAGGAGCAGGAGAGATGGAGCTGACTCACTGGGGGAGAAGGTTCTGAGCCAAGGCGGCAGCAAGGCCTGAGGGTACGGGGGTGTCGGTGCTTCAGAGACCAAACTGTGAAACGAGGCTGGAGTGGCGATGTGGTCGACAACGAGGGGCAGACGTGAGGCTGCAAAAGGAGGAGAAGGCACCAGAGGGCAGCCCCCAGCACAGGCTGAGGGGCCAGGGCTGTGGGAGTCACCCAGGTCTGCAGGACACGAGAGGGACACCGGGACAGGAAGGCCAACAGAGAGACGATGGCACAACCGTGTGCAGGGCCTGGGAGCCTCCTTACAAGCAGAGTGGGATTCCAGGACTCTGCCAGGAGGTCGTATCTGGCCAGCCCTTCTGGACAGGGTTTCCATGGCTGCCCACCAGCGAGCTCCCAGGGGAAGTTCTGTCTTTAGCTACAGTCCATGTGGTGTCTTATGCTGGCCACGCCAGATGTCTGTAGTCCACAAAGGAGTGGTATGTCCAGTTCATCACAATATGGCTCCTCTGTTCCTTGCCCAAGGCTGGCCTTGACAAACGGCGAACAGAGGACAGCGTTCTTGACAGCTTGCTTTCCACGGTCAGCGCCCCACGCAGAACATTCTTCTCACCTTCCTCTTCCATCTCAAACGTACCTGATTCCTCTTACACATGCCTGCTCCTGGCCAGGTGAAAGCCGGATGGTGTGCTGCATCAGTCCACACACACAGTGGACACATGGGTCACCTGCAGGCTCCTCTCTAGGGACATTCGGATTCCGTGAAGGGGCTGCTAGAGTCCACTTACGCATGTGCACAGCCCATTCTACTGGATGTCCCAGCATTAGGCAGCGGGCCCCACACTCAACCCTAAGGGAGAACTGGGGGCTCTGAGTGCCCCCTGCTGCGTGGCCCCTAGGGAATACACATGGGTAGGCCATTGGAGGAGGCTGTCCTGTGCACTGCGCTACACAACCAGGCAGGGCCTGGCTTGTCCAAGGTTATCTTTACTTTGGAGTGGGGTAGGAAGGGGACATACTAACTCTTTTAAGAACCTCCACAGATACTAAATGAGCAGATGCTCAGTGAAATGGCGCAGCATACACACAGAACCGATGCAGTCTTCCTGGAGAACTTAGACCATCTCCAGACTACTCACGATACCTAACACAATGTAAATAGTTAGGAAACTGCACTGTGTAGGGGATGAAAAAGTCTGTACGTGTTGGGTCAAGATGCCTATTTTTTTCTTTCAAAATGTGTTTGTTCCAAGGTTGGTTGAATCCACAGATTGGGAACCGTCAGACACAGGGGCCCACTGTAATGGCTCTGGTAGTAATTCTTGAAAAGCAACTTTGTTTCAGAAACAATTTCAAACCTACAAAAAAGTGGCAAGAAAAAGACAGATGCACAGAGCACCTACGCATCCTTTAAGCTGATTTGCCTGCTGCTAACGCTATCTGCTCCATAATTTGGAGTCCTTCTCCTCCCTCCCCACCTTCTCCTCCAGGATTTCTTTTCCCTGAACGACTTGGTTACGAGTTGCTTATAGCATGGTTCTTTACTCCTAAATGCTTCCACGTGCATTTCCTAGCACTAGGAATATTCTCTTATATACCACAGTGCATTTATCAACCTCAGTAAGTTTACATTAGTACAATCATTTTATCCAATCCAGTACCTGTATCTCAAGTTTTATCTATTCTCCCAATAATGCCCTCTACTGCACGTTTTCAGGATCCAATCTAGCAACAGACACTGCGACTGGTTGTCTGGTCTCTCATCTGCTTCCTCATGTTTCTCTTCCATGAGCTCGGCATTTTGGAAGAGTGCACCCCTACCTCTACCCCTGCCAACCACCCCCCTGCCCTTCTAACGGAATGCTTCTCCCCTGGGGTTTATCTCACGCCTCCTGATGATTGGACTCAGGCACCGCACTTCTGGACAGAACAGTAGGGATGTGATGCTGTGTCCTTCTCAGGATAGCAAGTGGATGTCTGTCCCATGGGTGGTGATAAATTCTGATCACCAAGGTGCTGTCCTGTTCTGCACTGTATAATGTGGGCATCTTCCCTTGTAACTAAGAGATTTGTGGGGAGTCACCTTAAGACCAGGCACATCTTTTATTCCTATTCAAAATTTCCCCTTAGATCTGACATCCACTGGAAAGTCTGACAATTGCTACTTCGGTGGCTGCATTAACAGCAATTTTTTTAAAGTACCTTTTGTCTCTGGAAATGAGATGTTAAAGATGTATCTGGAAAGGCAAAATAAGCAAAAAGCTGATATGAGTCAACACACACACACACACAACCTAATAATATTACCAAGTGCAGATAAATGCAAAGAAAGCTGCTACTGCAGCACACCCCACGACCCCACTGAGGGACAGCGACACTTTTACCAGGCCGTGACACTCTGCATGCCTTCCCACCATCCCAACACTCAAATCTGAGCTCAGGAACTGAACAGATGGAGAGTCGCTAGCCCTCAGCATTCTGCTGCAGGAGATTCAGATGATGTGGTGCCTCTCGCTACTCAAACACGCGACCACGGCAGTGAGGGGCTCCTGGTACATTGCAACGGAACAGTGCAGAAACAGGAAAGACACTAACTTGGAGCTCTCCTTCCCACCATCCGCCTGGGTTCTTTTTTCGGATCAGAATCAGCTGACCAGGGGCCAGAGTGAGCTGCTCGGGGCCTGTAGCGGTGTACGAGGCGATGACCTGAGCGATTTCTGGAAAACAAGACAGAATATTGCGGTGCACTGTTAACAGGACAAGGAGATTCTAGGACGACTCAGCCACCTCCCAGCTCCACACAGACTAACAGCACTAAAACCAACGTATGGGGCTGGAGTCCTAACCCAGTAAAGCTCACTGAATCGCCCCCACTCCCTGAGCTACAGCACAGGTGCAGCATCTTTCCGCTCAGCCCAGCGTCCTATGGGGCGCGTTCATCAGCTCTCGCGACTTAGCGGCTTCCCGCCACGAAGTACCCCTCTTTGCCCACCCCCCAGCCCCCTAGCACAACAGTATCCACTGATGGTTCAGCGAAGAAAAGAACTCACTGGAAGCTCTTCCCCACTGCCAAGTATGGAAGAAGGAGAAATTCCATGTGCCTCACACATCATTTGTGTGACAGCCTCAGAGCTGCAGTCCCACCAAAATGACCGCTCGGTTTCCAGCTCATGTTTCAGAAGTGACCCCCAAATATTAGGTACACACCAGTTTACTTCAGAACCCGGACGTAAGAAGGGGATTTTGTGGATGAACACTATTTCAGCATGGAGTGAAAAAAAAATGTAAATGGTTCTGAAAGTTAGCTGAATACTAAAAATCTCAAGGGAAAAATCCCAGCAGGACCACGGCCCGGGCTGTGAAAAGCACAGGAGGTGGAATGGAAAGAGACTCCTCCTCCGGCTGGATTCTGGGCTATCTGCAGCTGCTGCTTTCTCAGCTTCTAGAAACAACACAGAACAAACTGTTCTATTTCCTCTATCCTTGTTCCCCATCCTAATGGTTCCGGGGGGAGGAGGGGGAGGGAAGGAAGCAAAGAAGCCCCATGCTCTGACAGCCTTTCCTACTTTTCTACTGCAGAGGACGAGTACCATGCAGGCGCTGCTGTGTGATTGGGGTCTGCCGCACGACAGCTGGCACGGTGCTCAGGGGAAGCAAAAAATCCAGGCACTCCAGCAGGGATGAGCACTCTGCTGTACCATGCCAAGGACTGGGTTCCAATCAGCGTCCTGTCTGGCATCAGGTGTCTCTGCTCCTCAAAGGATCTATTGGCACGTGTTGCCAAGAGTCGGCCCTGGTCGCTTTTGCTGGCTTTTGTGTCCCTGGGTAGCTTGCTGGCTTCAGGGTGAGGTCAAGCCCACATGGACATCATACATCCGGACCCCATGGAGTGACAAACATTCAAAATGTGGAAGACACACAGCTAAGACAGAGGTCTTCCTGGACCCCAGTGGTCTAAGACCTGGAGTCTAAAATCTTCGACCACCTGGAACCTCCCTTTACTTGCCCCTCCAGCACAGTGGGAGCTGAGTGTAAGACAGATCCTGCCCGGCACAGCAGAGGCCGTTTCTACCCATAATTTCCTAAGGATGTGTGATAGTGAAAAAGGTCAAGGGATTCCGACCGAGCGGATGCGCCGTGCAAACCGAATTATTTTATAGCTGCTTCCTTCCCTCTCTGGGCTGCTGCTTACAGAACATGTGATTTTGCTTAAATAAACTAAGAGGACTTTGAACTCGGAGACACGACTATCATTTTATCTTTCCAATGTGTCCCCGAGGAAAACCACTCAGTGGCTCCTAAATTAGTGGACCGCCCCTCTGACAGTATCTGCTCTTCCTCTCCTGTCCCACCACTGTTGTGTCCTGGGACCCATCGTGCTCCCAGGAGAGGAAAAGGGTTCCAGGTGGTCGAAGATTTTAGACTCCAGGTCTCAGACCACTGGGGTCCGGGAAGACCTCTGTCTTAGCTGTGCGTCTTCCTTCCAAGGACTGGGTTCCAAGAAATTGCCTGAGAGGCAGCTGACCAGCAGCCACGCAGCTCCACCTACCACTCCGTCGGAATTATGTCTGCAGAACCCAAGGGAACAACAGAACATTCTGTCTGGCGATGTCCTCGCTCCCCATGCGGGAAGCAAGAGCCAAATCTCATGAACAAGCATCCAACATTAACGGATGCCAAGGGGAGAGGCTAACTCCAGCCATTTAGGGAACATTCTTTCGATTTTATATCAGGCTTCTGGCCTGAATGAACAAGTACCAGATCAACTATCAATCACATGCAAAACACTGAAAAAGAACCATCAGGGTTGTAACTTACCAGGTTTTTTTCCTAAACTCCCTGTTTTCCCAGCAGTTCCAGAGCCCTTAAAAAAAGAGCAAAAGGTCTCATCTGCATGCTGCAAAGTTTTGGTTACGCAACTTAAAAAACACTTAATGAGGATACAAATTCACCTGAACCCTTAAATGCACCTTTTCATTTTGGGGAAACACAGTAGCCGCATTGTCACCTGACATGAGGATGTGGATTGGGAAAACACAAGACAAAATAAGCATTTCCAAACGTGTGGCTTTTACTCCTCAAGTAGGTGGCACTGTGGGAGCCCCGAGGACTCAGGTATGAACTGCGTGCAGCACAGGCACATTGTGGACTGGGGTCAAATCCTTCAGGAGCTCCATGCTAGAACTATCAGTCCATGTCCTAAACACTCAGCTTGCACTTTGTTTTCAGACCGTTAAAACACATCACATACGAAAAAATACAGAGAATGCACGACCTCCATGAGCCTGCCACCCAGATGAAATACATTAAAACAGTAATAATTTGGGAGTGGGTGTCTGGTCTGGTGGTAAGACGCCATGTCCCATTATTGAATGGACTGCCTGGGTTTGATATCTGTCTTCAGCCTTGTAAACCCTGGGGAACAGCAGGCGATAGCAAATAGTTGAGTCTCTGCCACCCATGTGGAAAACCTGAATTGAATTCCCGGTTCCCAGCTTTGGTGAGGCTCAGCTGCAGCCACTACGGCATTTGGGGAATGAACCATTGGACGGGAGCTATCTGTCTCTCTGCCTCTCAAAAAAAAAAAAAAAAAGGCAGGATTTTGCTACATTTGCTTTAGAGTTTCCTTTTTAAAGGAACTAAAACAGTACAGGACAACTGACACCGCCCACCCCCTCACCCCTCCCTACTGTAGTGCTACCCCATGGCAGCCTTTCTTCCCAATTTCACACTGTGTGAACACGGACATTTCTCCATCAGTGCCGGGAGCTCGATCCACAGAAGCAGACCATACTTCTTTCCAGTTGCTGAGTGTTCCAGAAGTGCTTTGGGGCTGCATTCCTTTCATGGACACTCATGGAATTTTAAACCAGCTGAGTCAGTCAGCAGGAACCACAAGAGGCAGGACAGGGGCCAGAATACAATCTGTTGTTACCAAGTGCTGTATTTTGAGTTAATTTTCAGCCCCTGAGTATCTGTCTTGCAGTAAATTGAGTATTTCAATTAAAACAAAAGGTTTAAACTAAATGAGTTACTGTAAGAATAAAAATATGTAATTTATCTGCCAAGAACATAATTTATCATAGTGCCTTTATTGATATTGAGGTGTAATAATCACTTGTAAGGAAAAGGGTGGGTTAAATTTGTATTGATTGTGCAGTCTCCCTTGCTGTTTTTATATGTTGCTTATCAAACAAGGGACTATCAATGAAACAAGATTCCAAGTGACTAGCTACTTTCCCAGGGCAGGCTTATGCTCCCTGTACTCCACATATGGAACAGAGCAGTTGACAACACTCAACAACAGAGTTCAAGGAGCTTCGGTGGGTTCCCTTGGAAGCCAGGACTTAGTCAGAAATGCCAGTTCTGTAAGAGCCGCCCCGGACTCTGGAGCCCTGACCTCCTCACCACGCAGAGCGCAGCGGGAGGGGACCACACTTCATTTCTGGTTGGCAAAGCTGGGTCCACACTTTCTTTTTGGTAGGATACTTGGCTAACACTCTGAACTCTGAAAAGGGCTGATGTTTTAGATTTTTTAAAATTATTTTTATTGAGTAATATAGCTAAATGTTTATCTAAAAATCTTTAGTGCTGCTGGTTCTTTTGTGGCTAATCATTTAAGACTGTGGTTAAGAAAGTACCTTGCAGTTCAGGTTACCTTTAAAAAATGTCAGTGTGGTTTTCTTTAACCTACTGACTTCATGTGGATATTTTACAGAAAAAAATGCATTTTTTTAAAAAAACACAATGCAAGTAATGGCTTCTCATTATAACTAATCCAAAAGGTAAAGTCATTTCACCCATGGCAATGTAAACCACTGAGTTCAGTTTTTAGCGTTTTGTTGCTACTTCCCTGAAATAGGATTTTTATTGGATCCAATTTGCTGGCCTGGAGAAGAGTGTAATCCTCCCTTTCCAGGTCTACACGGTCCCATGTGCCAACTTGCTTACAGGGGAAGATTATTTTCAACCAGGCTTCTGCCAAACTCTTCCAGGGAGGGCAGACTTGTGCAAATCTACCCAGAGAGATTTCTGTAAGCTGCTCTCAAGACCACAGCAAGAAAAACAAACAAACAAACAAAAACAATAATGACACTCCATTAAAAAAAAAAAAAAAAAGAACAAAAAAAAAAAAAAAAAAAAAACTCCCAAGCAAATACAAGCATTCCTAGGAACTTCAGGGAATGTAGAAGGCCAATGGCAGAGCTACTGTGGCGAGTCACGGGCACAGTCTTGCCCTAATGCAGCTGTGCGTACAGGGCCTACGTGGGCTCAATTACACCCTCTTAAGGGCATTTAAGTGACAGCAAGCTTTGTCCACTTGCTTTCACCCGGGAATGCAACCTCTATAGGTTCTTTGCCAGCCTTTTCTCTCTCAGTACCTAGGCAGTATGAAGAGAAAAGAAAACTATGAATGGACTACCTGTGCTTAAAAAAACGAGCCAATTCCTGTTGGCTTATTTATGGGCAATGGGTCTGGTAAACGACCACGGTGCTACCCAGACATCCTCCACCAAGTGGAAATGTGGCCACTGTGAGAAGGATTCTCATACTCCGCAGAGGCCCACCCCTGCCATTCCATCGAATTCATACGACCGCAACCACATTTTACACAGCTGCATTTTTAGGGCGTTTTTAACAAGACAGGAATCATTCCCAGTTGATAAGCATAATGGTATTTAAAATAAATTCAGCCCTGGATCAGATACACGGACTTTAGCTAAAAGTGTACCAGTCTCCTAGATCTTGTGTCTTTCTACTATGTAGAAGAAAAGTACAAAATCTACATTCTTCTGCCCGATGTTCTGGAGCCTGTAGCACCAGACTACTTTGGTTTACATGGGTGAAATGGTGCTGCGTATCTTTCTAAGCCAATGACCACCAAGCCCTCACTGAGAAAGTTTATTCCAAATCACAAGTCATGCAACAGTAGAGGTCAATACTGGATGGTATTATCCCAGGTGGCACAGACCAGCCCCGTTGCACGCAGCCTCCGTTTAGCCCGGTAGAGTTCTGCTGGTGGGAAATCATCTCTCACCCTGACAAGGTCAACCAGCTGCAGGTCTCACGGTAATGACTGTCACGTTCCACAAGTTGGCAAAACACAGCCAAGTGCCCCACTGTCACACATCATGACTTCCCGCCAAGAGAATCATCGCACAGAAAGGGAGAGGAAACAGTTCACGTGGGTTTACCTCTGAATCTTTAAGTCTCACATAGTTAGAAGGGAAGACTCCGGACTTGTCGCCCACTGTTCCCGTCCACCAGTCACCATCTTTCTTGGTAACCAAAATCACATCCCCTTGCTGAAAGGTTAAGTCTCCTTGCTCAGAACTCTCGTAAGTGTACATGGCAATAAACTCTGGTGGGGAGAAATATTGAGATATGGAGAGAGCTTGATTGTTTAAAGAAATCCCAGACAGCTTTGCAAAAGCAAGTTTATGAATAAGGAAGTTAGAGTAAGATCCATTCAAGAAAAAGGCTAGTCTCAGATAAAATACAGGACTGCAGAACACCCCCGGCTCCAAATGCCCCAACTGCACATGAGAATTCAGTAACTTCAGACAGGGAGACATTTCTTGTAAAGACTTGTTCACAGGACCAAAAACCAACCACAGGTCCACCAACTCAGTAGTAAGCAGGATCCTTGAGAGTGTCAGGGTTTGGTTTGAAATGGAAATGTTTTTTCCATTTTTACTTTAACATTTATTGAGTACAGGGGCAGGGTGTTCACATGCAGGTTCTTGGTGTGTACACCAAAAATCTGCATTTCAGTTTTCGAGTACCACATCACCATTTGAGGACATTTTGGGATAGATAAGACACATTTTTCATTACTTAAGTGCCTGAGTGAAAACCCATGTCCCATTGGGCCATATTGCACAGAAGGTAGAATGATGTTAGAACTCAAAATAAAACATTCAGATTATACAGTTAAAATGGGCAGCTACTTGCCAGGGTACAGACAAGTGGAGGGGATTGATGATAACAGCAATGTCTACCCAATCCCAGCAAATATTCAAGCCTTTCTCAACAAGTGAAAAACTCAAATCACAGTTTATTACATTTTATTATTCATGACATTTAGTCTTTTTTAAAAAAGATTTATTTTATTTATTTGAAAGACAGAGTTACAGAGAGAGGTAGAGACAGAGAGAGAGGTCTTCCATCTGCTGATTCACTCCCCAGATGGCTACAAGGGCCAGAGCTGCGCTGGTCCAAAGCCAGGAGCCTGGAGCTTCTTCCAGGTCTCCCATATGGGTGCAGGGGCCCAAGGACTTGGGCCATTTTCTACTGCTTTCCCAGGCCATAGCAGAGAGCTGGATCGGAACTGGAGCAGCCGGGACTAAAAGTGGTGCCCATATGGGATGTTGGTGCTTCAGGCCAGGGTTTTAACCTGCTGCACCACAGCGCTGGCCCCAGTGATACTTAGTCTTAAAGGATAAGAATGAATGTTCTTGGAGCCAGTGCCATGGCATAGGTTAATCCTCTGCCTGCGGTGCTGGCATCCCACATGGACGCCAGTTTGAGTCCTGGGTGCTCCTCTTCTGATTGAGCTCTCTGCTGTAGCCTGGGAAAACAGTAGAAGATGGCCCAAGTGCTTGTGCCTCTGCACCCATGTGGAAGACCCGGAGGAAGCTCCTGGCTCCTGGTTTTGGATCGGCAAAGCTCCAGCCACTGTGGCCATCAGGGGAGTGAACCAGCAGATGGAAGACCTCTCTGTCTATCCCTCTCTCTGTCTGTAATTCTATCTCTCAGGTAAATAAATACATTTTTTTTTAAAAAAAGGGATCAATGTTCTTGAACTTGAAAAGCATGTTTCTTTTAAAATTAGAAGCAGAATTCTTGCATTACTAAGGCTTAGCACCAAGCCGTACTCTCAGAAATATCACTAGACACAAAATCCCACACACGACTCCAGTGACAGAATGAGAAATTTACAGAAAGATGCACACTTTTCCTTCCTTTACCCTAAGCCTTTGTATCGTCTACACAGAGTTCACTTTATCATGGATGATGTGTATTTCTCACTATGCATCAGAGGGTAGTCCTTACATGCAGTCTGATGTTGAAGAACAGGCAGACATTTAGAATGGAGAACTCCACAGGCCAATTTTAGGAGCTTCCGAAGGTGGCAATAAAGCAAACTAAAATAAGCACACACAAAAATAAAACCCCTAACGCTGTGCTGACATGGGCAGCAAGCACCCCGCGAGGGTCCAACTTCGACTTCCAGAGTTGACTGTGCCTGCTGCCAATGCCAGTGGCGACTCCGGGCCCCACAGCAAATACGAGCTCATCCAAACCTGCGAGGGAAAACGCAGGACTCTCTTATCACCCTCCAGTGCCGGGGACACACACCTCCGGTGAACACACAAGGAGATCAAAACTTGGCAACTTTGGAGAGGGTGTTCTTTCCTCATTAACACACCCATTTCCCTGATTTCTCAATGTTCTGACTCCTCCCTTTTCATTTTGTTCCCTGCTGTTCTTCAGTTCCTGGTTTCCCATTTCAGGTAGGATCCTTGGCAATCAATAATTTTTTCAGTGCTTCTTCAACTTAAAAAAAAAAAAAAAAGTCACTTTCTTTAAAATGGATCCAAAATTGGAAGCACCATGCGAAATGCTTAGGAAACTAGAAACATGAACTCTGGCTGAACTTAAGGCTGCAAGATGAAAAAGGAAGGAGTGGAACGACTGGGAGGCCTTGCCGGCCCATCCGAGGGGCTCTGGCTGACCATGGACCCCAAAACACAAGGAGGGATGTTCACAGGGTCCCACACCACTCTTTCAGGGGATATCTTCCAGAGGGCACCTGCCACTTCCAAGCCAGTAACTTCAGAACTACCAAATTGCAAACCTAATTAATCTGGGCTTTTCTTTAAACCTGATTATACTCTGCAGTATGCCTCACTAATATATGGAAATGGCTCTAATGCAACTGTCTCGCCCATTGACTCCATAATGTCAGTATTATTTATTAATAATTCTAACACTCAAGTCATTTCAAAACAGATATCGTAAATATCAACTAAGACCTGAATTAAACTCTATTTTGTTGCCCAGTGTTAAGTATATGAAGGATCTTTAAGAAGTTAGTGGAGGGGGAGGTGCTGTGGCATAGCAGGTAAAGCCACCGCTTGCAGTGCTGGCATTCCACATGGAAACCAGTTTGAGACCCAGCTGTTCCACTTCTGATTCAGCTCTCTGCTATGCCCTGCGAAAGCAGTGGAAGATGGCCCAAATCCGTAGGCCCCTGCACCTGCATGGGAGACCCAGAAGAAGCTTCTGACTCCTGGCTTCAGATTGGCTCAGCTCCAGCCATTGCAGCCATTTAGGGAGTGAACCAGTGGATGGAAGACCTTAATCTCTGTCTCTCCCTCTCTCTGTCTGTAACTCTACCTCTTAAATAAATTAATAAAGTCTTTAAAAAAAAGAATTAAAAAATTAATGGATTACGTGCATTATGTATGAAAAAACTATGCATAGATTTCAAATTTTTTGAACCCATGATCTGGGAACTTTTTGAAGGGTGTTGGGTTCATCTGGGACCTAGTTAGGGTCAAGGTCTTGATACATGCTTCAAAGCAAACGTTCCTCCACTTTGCTTTCTGATGAGAACACTCACTGCTGTAGGTGGACCTACCAGTAATCCAGCAAATGAAGCAAAAAAGGAAACAAACACAGCATTGACTGGGCTTCCTTCGAAAACATGACTCTGGTAATAATTCCCCACCTAAGAGGTGGATATCATGCCCACTACATGGCTGAGGAAGCAAAAGTGTGACCCAAGATCCAGGAGTTACTAGGTGGCAGAGACAGGACACAAACTCCAGCCCTCCAGCAAGACTGGATGTAACACATGGAAGCTCTGCTGTTATTCTGGGGTCAGGGTCAGAATTCACTTTCTATTATGCTGACTACTCATGTCATATTTAAAGGGCTTTTTGTCATCACAATTATGAGAGTAGATAAAGAAAACTACACTAACAGCAAAACCTGGATGTACAAAAATGATGCGTTTGTGATTAGACATTCTATAGATATACCTTCTTGGCAAAAATATTTTTTATTTAAAAAAAATATTCCTCTTGGGGCCAGCATGGTAGCACAGCGGGTTAAGCTGCTGCCTGTAATACCGCAGCTGGCATCCCATATGAGCACTGGTTCATGTTCTGGCTGCTCCACTTCTGATTCAGCTCCCTCCTAATGCACCTGGAAAGGCGCTGAAAGACAACCCAAGGACTCGGGCCCCTGCCACCCATGGGAGACCCTGGCCTGGCCTGGCCTGGCCTGGCCCAGCTCTGGCTGTTGCAGCCATTTGCAGAGTGAACCAGTGGATGGAAGATCTTTCTCTTTTCTCTCTCCCTCCCTCCTTCTAATTCTGCCTTTCAAATTACTAAATCTTTTTTTAAAAAAAATCTGCTTGAAAAACAATGAACATTGTTACTATGAAGCTGAAATACCATGAAACCTTCATCTTTGCAGTCTCCATTGAAATAACTGTTTTGATAATTCTATTTTTCATCAGGCAAAGTTTCTATAGAATGTAACAATCTTATGGCAAAAACTAAACATTCTACTTCATAATTTATGCTACACATCCATGAAAAATTACTGTACAATTGGTTAGTTCCGACATCTGTTTCCTACAAACACTGTTCAGACTTCTACATAAAAAACGTGTCTGATGCAGACCGCATTCTTCACTGATTACTATGATAATGACTGTGCTGAATAGAAAGATTTTTACCAGTGGGACCTAAATTAGGTTTGGTTCCCTTTTAAAAAACTTAAATAAAATAATTCCTACTATATACTGGTATCCATGTAATATTTAGGATCATGCTATTAAAAGATCAGGAAAGATAGCAATTGATCATTTACACAATAAACACTTGATGGATTTTCAGACCTAGAGGGAGGATAGAAACTACGTTCTGTTCATTTGGGGTGGCACAGACAGCACTCATTTCGCTGTGAGAACTTTATGGGACTGGGCACTTAGTTCCAGATATAAATATTTATGCATGTGAGTCAGAAGAGACCAGGTTAGGCCAAGCAGTGACCACAGTTCAGCTATAAAGATGCTCAGAAAACTTGATCCACGGTGAACTGAATGGACCTCTTTCAAAAGCCTAAGGGCTTATGACCAAATATAACTAGAAAGTGTAGTTTTTAGTCAACAGTGTGTCTAATGGTACCCTGAGAGTCTCCATAAAGTATTTGGTTTTGTAAAGTACTAAGCTTTCACTGTTCCTTAAGGAGAGTTTCCACATACTGGTCCTAAGTTAGTGTGATCTATTTTCAAGCGAAGTCCGATCTCATTTCCAAGGTTCACTGCTGGTATTACGCACCACCCTGCCCCTTCTACAGAGCATAAGGTGGCTCGGGTCCTCACCTTCTCCCGAAGCGGCCGTGGCCTTCGCGGCCGGGGAAGCTCCTCTTTTTCGGCTGGCGGGACTTTCTGAAGGACCAGACTCCATGCTGAGACGGGTACAAAACAGCATTTTAATCCTTTACTTAAAAAGAAAACAGTACAAATAACACTCTTCTTTTTAAAACTCTGAACAATCTCTCCAGCTCACATAGCCATACTTAGCCAAGACAAAAACCCAGAATAAGGTGCTGTAGCGTCGAGACTCTAAGTTTCATTCTTACTTTCAGCACTTTGCTAGGCTGCACACAAAGGCTATATGTATTCCTCAATTTCAGATAGTTATCAAATAATTTTTACTATTTTTATCTTCTTAAAGCTCATAATTTGTTTTGAACAGCTTTATGAGAGCTATTCAAAAAGTTCATGGAAAATGCCCATTACTGCACGGATTTCAAAAAAAAATTCCTTGCACCAAAATAAACTTTTTTTTTTAAAAAAAGATTTATTTTATTTACTTGAAAGACAGTTACAGAGAAAGAGTCTTTCATGTGCTGGCTCACTCCCCAAATGGCTGCAACAGCTAGAGCTGAGCTGATCCGAAGCTAGGAGCCAGGAGCTTCTTCTGGGTCTCCCAGGTGGGTGCAGGGGCCCAAGGAGTTGGGCCACTCTCTGTTGCTTTCCCAGGTGCCATTAGCAGGGAGCTGGATCAGAAATGGAGCAGCAGGGACTTGATCCAGGACCCATATGGGATGCCAGCACTGCAGGTTGGGGCTTTAACCCACTGCACCATAGCACCGGCCACAAAATAAACTCATTCTTCAATTCTACTTTCCATGAACTTTCTGCAATATCTTTACTTGCCTGGAATAATTAAACAACCCACTTTGTTAAGGTTTTGTGCGCTAATAAGACCCAAGTGAAAAAGATCATTCATTCTTCCACTTACTTCCCCAAATGCTTTGGGTTTCTAGGTGTGTATATATATATACATATATATATATATGTGTATATATATATATCTGGTATGATACTGGGTGCTGAGCATAAAGACAAACCACAATTTCCAACCGAATGCTTCAGGTCTCAGAGTACAATTCCTTCCCGCATAAGTAATCAAGGAAAACAAGATGGACAGGCTTCCACAGAGGAAGAAAAAATGAACACTTATTTGCAAGAGGCTCCATTTTTATTTCATATTCTGCAAATTCTGCAGGTGAATGATCCAGAAGATAGAATAAAATAATCCTGCAACTCCTATCATATGTGAATCTTAACAAGCACAAACAACAATTTAATGCCCAATAACATTTTCATCAAATAGAAGCAGATAAACACAAAAATACCTTGTAGATTTCCTTATGGGCCCTGAAATGAGTTTCACGTAAGACTTGGGGAACCAACCCTTCTGACCTTGAACTTCTCCAAACCACCACATGTCTTGCTGTTCCAGGACGGTGATGACATCATTTTTGTTAAAATTTAAATGGTTGTCTTTTTTGGCTCTCCAAGGATACAGGGCTTGTGCTTGTAGGCCCTCCACCTTTTCACCCTTGTGTGGAATAACATAAAGGACCTCTCATTACATTGTGATTTGTGACCAATTAAGGCAGAAGCGAACACTGGCACCTCTTCTCCAAAAGCCGTGGGCACACACGGCTACAAAGGACCCTGTCTCAGCATGGCCTGAGTGCTAGATGCTCACTGTTTATCTCCAGGAGTGGAGGCAAAAACCTGACAGCCTATTCACAAAGCCATTGTCTGGACATCTAGAACTCTCTATTCAAACAAGCCAGGGGGCCATATTTATTCGGTTGCATCTGGTTGTGTGCCTTTTACATTCTGAGTCTATTTTCACTCTTAAGAGGTCCCGGGTACCCCCCGCCCCCATTTTCAATCTGATTTGGGTTTTCAGTGGAGGAGAAATGTCATGAAATTTCATGAGATAATTAACTGATAGTTCAGGTTAGGTGGACACAGGGACAAAGGCCCTATACTGGATCATGCTTGCTTTAGCTCCTTTATAGAGAAACAGGAGTTTGAATAGCAGAAATTCATTGTAATTGCCATTTCTTGTACATCTATATGCAAATTAATGTGAGATTACAAAGCTGAACAAAACACCATCTCTGCCTCCCCCAAAAAACTTTAGGGTAATGTACTTTATTAGCCAAAGTGCAATGTGAAAAAATGGACAGTATGGTATCATTAGCAAGCAACTCACAGCTCAGGGAGAAGAAACAGATAAAGACAACCAAGTACATCACTCGGCAGGATGAAATAAGCTACTAAAAGGTTGCAGGTATTCAACGTGGGAGCAGGGAGAAGGGAAGGATGGAACCTGCCCGGGGAGATCAGGGCCCATTTCACAGAGGACGAGGCAGCATTTGAGCTGGGCCTTGCAGGATGAGGATTTTGATAGCTAAGGCTTCGGAGGAAGGGTACTCCAGGCCGAGGGCATAGCACAGGGCAAGGCTTTGAGGTGGTACACTGCAAAGGATCCGGGAAGAGGAGCACAATCCGGGGCTGCGGGTGGCCTAGTCTCAGGGAAGGGTGTGGTAGGAGGTGAGGCTGGAAAGGCAGGGGGAGGCATTGATTATCCTTTTGAAAACCACAGCATAAGACCATTAACACATCAGAAAGCACACAAAACAATGTCAGTTTCCAACTGTATCTGCAAATGGACAGAAACTCAGGAAAATGCCCAGAGAGAGTTAATTCAGAGCCAATTTATACTTGCCTTCTAGAGTTATACTGACATTAAGCTGTGATTATGTGAGGTCAATGGAGGATTCACAGCTGGTCCAATAGGCTCAGCATCTACGCTGGCAGCCTCTAAAACCTGTTCTTCTTAGGTTGTTGCTTTCTTAGACCCAACACCCTCACTTGCTCCATTTCAGCTGTACTTTCCCCCCAGACCCTCAGAGCACTGAGAAGGTTTCTCTGGATTTCAGACATCCCCAGGATCAAATATTCTTTGCCTTCTAATTTTGACCTTTCACAGGAACCTCATGCCTGCGTGGCTGCTGATCCCATGGTTCTTCTGCCTGTCTAACCCTCTTGGTCACTTGTCCCTGCCTGGGCGCTATTGACTCCAGCCTGGTCTGGGTCTGAATCCCAGATCTCTCTCTAATTTTGTGATGCCAACAACTGCTTAATTTCTTTAAACTTCAGTTCGCACATCTGTGAGACAGGGATGCTCGTTAATTAAGTTGGGCTAAACCTATGCACAGCACTGCTAAGACAGTAGTAGTAACAGCAGTAGATGCTATTTTACTAATTCCCAGCTATGAGATATTGCCAAAGAAAGCAGAGACAACATGCAAAGATGAGTTACGGAATCAGGTTAAGTTCAGCCATGTCATTTCTTGTTCTTCTTTGTCAAATTCCTAATTTACCTACTCCTAAACCCAGTCTACACTCCACAGGCCCCCAGGAGTCTGTCCTCACCGACAGTGACACCAGGTAGCCCAACCAGACCCTCTTTCTCCACTGCATCTTCTCCCATTTCGCTTCCCCCTCCTCATCTGGAAGAAAACCAGTCCCGTCTGTCTTTGCTGTGTGTTTCATGTTGGACCCACCTTACACCAATTACATTTCCTGATACTTGAGTTTTTGATGCCTTTCCCTACTGGTGACAAGCTTTCTTGTGTCTTGTGTCTTGTGCCTTTCCCATCACCCTGCCTCCATTCTGCGCCCTCTCTCATTTCCCCCTGTCCTGCTCTTCCAACCTGGTTTCATCCTACCCTATCTCAGGTCATGAAGACATTTTACTTGCTGCACTGAATGGTCTACTCCTTGCCTTGACCATAGCCCATAATAATAAGAACAACCTCTCTCTTTCTGGACACGATTCCCACCTCCACAAGTATTCTTATCCCCATACCTCCTCCATCACACAGTCATATTTACGGGACACATGACCCGTGCTATACACTGAGCTGAGAGAGGTGCAACACCTCCATGACACAGCTCCTCTTCTTCCCCTGTTACCTCTCCTTTATGACCTCACACGGGTCCTCGGATTTGTGTTCTCCAGGGAGGCGGCTCCCCTATACTCATATAATGCAGGTCTTGTCCTCTCTTCCACCCCCCAGCTCTGTGCTCCAACAGCATGCCTGGCAGGACTACCTGCATGTCCTGTTTCCACCTTAACCTTAACATGTGCAGAACCTACTCCTGCCTCTAACTAATAATTGATTTTTCTTTCTCTGTTCCTTGTTTCTTTACCTTCCAGGTGGAACCCCCTTCTCACTCCCAGACCCCCTTCCTTTCCTGTTGGCTGGTACGGGCCCGGAGAGGCCATTCTGCTGTTTCTCCTCTGCAGCCTCCCTCATGTGTGCTCCTCTTCTACACCCACTGCTTCCACCCTGCTCGGGACTATGAACCCACCTGGGCCCAGGTCTTCCCTGGTGCTCATCACCTGCACCCTGAACAACAGTGATGCTGCCCACTGGTCCTCACTCTCATCTCCCTGCATCATCGTCTCCAGCTGAATCTGCCCAGTGTCTGCCGCAGTCTGGGTGCTCCCAGACAGAAACTGCCCGGACCCTCTAAGAGCCCCCCGGATGGGCATATCCTGCTTGGCTGAACTGATTAATTTCACTCCTTTATCTTTGCAGGGTATTTCAGAGCTCCCCGGTTTGTTTTCCAGTGATCAATGGCCTGGCCAAGGGAATGAACGTGATTTTCCATGCACACGCTTGGGTTTTCTGCTTTAAAGCCCCTCCTCACTGCTTCTGCCTGAAATGCTAGCCCTCTGCATTTTCCAGTACGACCCTTACCACTGGGCAGGGCTGCCCTGATCAGCTCAGGAAGGGTCGACTCCCCCTTCTGAACGCTGGTCCTTCCCAGCGCATTTCAGACTCCCGGACCCCTTGTGATAAAGCCATCCCAGAAGCACAGAGCAGAGCTGACTTCTGAACGGCAGCACCAACAAGCACCTGCTGGCTGCAGGGCACCGACTGCCCTTACCTGGCCTAGCACAGGAGAAGGGGAGGAGCCGGTGGCTGTGGCTGGAGTAAAGGCCGATCTCTGCCTTAACTGGCCGGCGCTGGGGACAGTGAGCGAAGGCTGGGCTGCCCACGCATCCCAGTTATCCGTTTCTGGTTTTTCATTCGTGCTGCTGGGCCACCTGGAAGGAAAAGTACACCACCATCAATGGTAACGCACTTCCGAAAGCTTTCCACCCAGAGTTCAGTGCTCAGTGAGCCCGTGTAAACACAAATCCAGGATTTCCTGTTTATTTATTTAAAAGCAGAGAGACAGACACAGAAAGTCAGAGACGTAGCCCCTGGTTTACTCTCCAAACGTTCACGACAGCTGGAACTGGGCCAGTCCAAAGCCAGAAGCTTGGAACTCAATCAGGATCTCCCCCATGGGTGACAGGGACGCATCACCTGCCACCTCCCAGGGTGTGCATGAGCAGGAAGCTGGAGGGGAAGAGAGCTTGGGCTTGAATGGAAGTTTTCTCATGGGATGTGGGCAACCCAAGCAGAGTCTGACACGCTGAGCTGAGTGCCTGCCCCATTTCTGCAGCTCTCTACAGTTAAAGAACAAGGAAGAGAGGAAAGAGCCCTGGGCTTAGGATTCAGTCTGAGCTTCGACATTAGCAAAGGCCATTGAGCAAACTAAAGCAGTCTCTCTGACTCCTGGCTTCCTCATGGGTAAAACAGGAACGATACTCTGCCCCTTTTTTGTTTCGCTGTGCGGGACCCTCCTTACATGATCATTACTGTCAGCAGTGACAACTGAGGAATGAAGAAGTTAGGAAAACAGCACCACAGCCAAGGCTTCCCAGCACCTCTTCTTTCTCCGTCCACCCTAGGGCAGACACCTGGATGTCTGGTCATTGGCAGGGGCATCCTTACAGCAACCAGTTGTCTTGGATCTTAGGGAGATAGTTCTAATTTTGTGATTTTGTGATATTACAATTTTAGACAAACGCATCTGTGCGAGTGCAGATCTAAACGCAATTTTTGTGTTTACATCTTTGTAAGACACGTAAACACAACTGGAAAAAAAATCAAAACAACTGCTCTGTTAGAGCACACACTCTGATTTTTGGTTTGGAAAATAAAATGTCCATAATTATAGCAGGAGAACTGCACACTACACATTTATTGAGGAAGAATGTCCTACTAATTTAATCCACAGCAAAAACAAATCCTGGAAAACATGGTATTACTCTTCTATTTCAGGCTAAGCTTCAGGTTAGAAAGTTATAACTTCTCAATCGAGATCAAAAGAGGAAGGGACAGTTTTGACTTGGAAGTCCTGCTAATGGGAGGCGACTGTTTTTTAAAAGCAAACTTTATATAGCGAGGATCTTTATGGCTTTCAACCTCTGATATGAAACTCTAAGTATGAAAAACTGGCTATCCTCAAATCCTCTCCTCCACTTCCTCCTGCCCCTGCTAGTCATTCTCCTTTCTTCCCTCTATTTGTCCCACCTGACCCTTCTCCTGCAATACATTTTGATTCCTTAACTTCAACTGGTTTCTTCTGAAAGATGATTAGATTTGAAGAGAAATCCTCCCCCACCCCCAAGCACTTCTCACTCAAATCACTCTTATTTGCATACTGGTTTCAACTAGTTTCAGGCAACTACACATCTAGGTCATGGCCCTGTAACTAGAGGTCTGGACAGCAGGCTCCTCTGTCATTTCAAACCTCTACTTCTTTGCTGTTTTGCTAAATAACAGCGGTCAAGGACACGCACCTCGTCACTCCACTGTACACTTGCACAAGACTAATGAAAATCGAAAGCCTGAGAGGAAACAGCTATCTTATTCAAAACCACATGACTGAATGCAATTTCTGTTTCTGCCCAGCAAGAGAGTCCTATTTAAATTCATGCAGGAAATGACTTGGAATATTTGCTGACAGACATGGATGTCAAAACAGATGACAGTGTTCCCTCGGTATCCGTGGGAGATTGGTTCCAGGACCCCTGTGGACGCCGAAATCTGCAGGCGCTCAAGTAGTATTTATACAGAACCTACACACATTCTTCCGTATGCTTCAAATCAGCTCTAGATTATTTATAATGCCTAAGGAAATGTAAATGCTATGGTAATATTGCTATACTGTGTTGTTTAGGGAGTAATGATGAGATAAAAGTCGGTATGTGTTCAGTGCTAACAAAATGCTTTTTCCTGACCATTTTGGCTCAGCAGTTGGTTGAATCCACAGATGAGGAGGGCCAACTGTGGTAGGAAACTGTATGTCTCCATTTCATCCAGAAAAATGAAAGAGATACACAGATTACAGAATGAAACAAGATAACAGAGTATATTTTGTGCCAGGGTTAAACCATAGTTGGGCAATGATTCCATTAGATCCAGTTCAGAGAATGTAATACACAATCTTCCTGGGAGACAATGAGAGAGAGGGTAATAGGAACAAGCCAGCTTCCTTAACACGGAGAGACAACCACACCATAAAGACACAGAGAGAGGAAAAATGATTCCTGAATTGATATTTAAAAAGCATCAGAAACAGGATGTCACACATACGTGGAGCTGAAGTCGGCCCAGTTGTTGGGGGTGGTGGAGGGCTCGGAAGAGCTCACCACTGAAGGGGCAGGCGTCTCACGCAGAGCCAGTTTTGGGGCAGGGGCAGATGTGGCATCAGTCACTGGTTTGGCTGGAGTGGGAACCTCGTTTTCTGGTATTTTCTCTGCATAGTTTGCAGGGAACCATCCTGTTTTTCCTTTTAATTCTCCTCCAAGCCATCCCGGTTCTCCAGTTTGGCTTTCATCCACCTGTGGGAAAGACAAGTCACAACATCTAAGTGGAACTAAATCCACCCCGGAACACAGCAAACAGCACCCACCATAACAAAGCCCCAAGCCTCCTCCCTGTTTTGACTGACACACAGCACAGAAATGTTTCCATCCTCATCTAAATGTCTGGAAAAATGCTCTGTAAACATTAATCGTGGGAAAACAGCAAGCACAACAATTCAAGTTCTAATTCTTGGTACTTTTTTTTGACAATCAAGACAAAGTGCCAGAAGTACCTGGACAGACAGTCTAAGTTTTCAGAGTTATTTTGAATTGGACAGTGGATCTGATAGCATTCATCACTCAGGAAGTCATATAATTATTAAAAATAATTTGACTAATAAAAGAAAGATGAATTTGTCTTGGGTTTATTATTTGAAGTTGCAACAAAAGGGCGCAATCAATATAAATTTAGTACTCTAAAACCATCTAGTAACTAAGTAGTATTTATTCAGCAGAGAGACAAGGAAGATACAAACAAGCCTTAGGTGGTTTCCACAGGAAGCAAAGCTGACTGATAGGTGTAGCCATTTAAGTGCTCCACAGATACATGATGTGAATGTCAACGAAGGGGTTAATTACAGCAGTAATCAATTTTACTAAGATCTTACAGTTTCCTGTTGTACAAATTTAACTGCTATTCACAAAAGTACATATGAGAATATAATTCTCCAGTTTAAAATGGCACAGAGGGGACTGGCGCTGTGGTGCAGAAGGTTAAGCCATGGCCTGCAGGGCCAACATCGATATGGGCACCAGTTCAAGTCCTGGCTGGTCCATTTCCCATCCAACTCCCTGCTGGTGGCCTGGGAAAGCAGCAGAGGATGGCCCAAGTCCTTGGGCTCTGGCACCCACATGGGAGACCTGTAAGAAGCTCCTGGCTTCAGCCTGGCCCAACCGTGGTCATTGTGGACATTTGGGGAGTGAACCAGTAGATGGAAGATGTCTCTCTTTCTATCTCTCCTTCTCTAACACTGCCTTTCAAATAATATAAATCTTAAAAAAAAAAAAAACAACTAAACAAACAAAAACACATATACACATAAAGGCTACTTCTATTTACTACACTAAGTGTTTGCATTTTATTTTAATTTGGACAACAGGATCATTCAAAATGTCCACAATGCTTCTACTTATCTTTTCAAATTACTCGCACTATTTTATAAGCAACAGGAGGATGGCTCCGGGGGATAATTAAATTCACTACTGGAAAAATACCTTCATTACTGTAAGTCAAACAAGGACCTCTCAGGGGACTTACCTATTTTTATCTCTTCACACACTGCCTAAGGAGGTAAAAACCTAGAACACTGCCACTGGACATTAATGTTGGCTTTTAGAAATTGCACAAATGGGAGCCAGCACTGTGGCGTAGTGGGTAAAGCTACTGCTTGCAGTGCCAGCATCCCATATGGGTGCCGGTTCGAGTTCCCCGAGCTCATTACTTCCAATCCAGCTCTCTGCTATGGCCTGGGAAAGCAGTGGAAGATGGCCCAAGTCCTTGAGCCCTTGCACTCATGTGAGAGATCCCGAAGAAGCTCCTGGCTCCTGGCTTCAGATTGGCCCAGCTCTGGCCGTTATGGCCATTTGGAGAGTGACCCAGCAGATGGAACTATTAAACAAACTAAACATATATCTGTATACAGTGCAGAGTAATAGTGAATAGTGTATTTGCATGAATAAACGCTAGGGATAGAGAAAGTAGAATAGACTTACTAGTCACTAGTTAATTCTACATGTTATTTACAAAATACTCAGCAGTTTGCTGGCTGTGACACCTTAAGGAATGGGCACTCAGGACAGAAGCCATTTCGCTGTATAATTCTGTCGTTCTGCTCACACTCATGAGGCGGCATTAGCCATTTTCCAGTCAACACCCCTCACTGTTTTTTCCCTGCTTTCCTTTTCCTGGGCAGCCACACTGCTTCTTCAGATGAGGATTTAAGGTAACATTTTTTTCCACTTGAATCTTCTTTATGCTACATGCAAAAGGCGTGATGCCTTTCCTCCCTTGTATTTATTGGTGATATTATGGACCCTTCTAACTGCAGCTGCACCACGCTGGAAACAGCTTCTTTAAGCTTGTTCATTCCCAGGGACCCTCAACCCACCCATTCTAGGACCAAAGCAGAAGTCAGGCAGGAGGTGAGTTAGGAGCTTAAGCCAAACACACAATAACTTAGCCCCAAGAATGTGAAGTGTGATGGTCAAGGAGAAGGTTCGCGAGTAGGATGATCTCAGCTTAAACACTAGTTCTACCAGTCATCTGGTTGGCTTTGGGTAATTTTACGTTATTATTTAAATTTTTTTAATTTAATTTTTATTTGAAAGACAGAAAGACATAGAGAGAGACAGAGACAGAGAGAGGTCTTCCATCTACTGATCTATTAACTAAATGTTCCCAAAAGCCAGGGTTGGGCCAAGCCTTAGCCAGGAGCCAAGAACTCAATCCAGGTCATCCAAGTACTTGAGCCGTTATGGGCTGTCCCCCAGCATGTGCACAAGCAGAAAGATGGACTTGGAAATGGGGCCAGGACTCGAACCCAGGCACCCTAATATGGGATGCTTCAACCACCATGCCAAGCCAAACACTCACTCCAATTTTGGGTAGCTTAATCTCTTAGTACCTTGTTTAAGATGTCTATAATGAGGATAAGATGAATGCCTGTCTTCTCAGGGTTGTTGTATTTAGAAAACTGGCACATAAAAACTCTTCAGTGATTTTTCTTTCAGCCATTTTTCTACCTGTCCCACTCTGCTGTAGTTCTCTTATTTGGGTGTTTGTCCTGTTCTAAAAGTTTGGTCTCTATCCTCACTCTTGGTGACAAATCTCTATTCTGTAAGGGAAGCTCCATGCTCTAGGGACCTGCCTGGAACCAAGGTTTCTCTTCTTGCCAGAATAATCCCTTAGAGGTTCAACTCAATTCCTGATCAACGCCAACATGGAACTCCTAAGTTCTGTCCAATTTGCACATCATCAATGTCAGTTGCTTTACTTAATTGTGTCTTATGATTGACTGTTCCCCTTAAGAAACAGGATCTGTCTGGTTAACAAGACTTTTGATGGACATCTGGAATAGGATCTTAAGCCCAGAGGAAATGTCCCACCCCTTGGGCAGGTCTAGCTCCCACCCAGTTAAGGAGTCACACCTGGCCTGTCTCCAGATGTGACACAAAGCACTGTGTACACTCAGAAGCAGGGGAGGGGCCACCTCACCCTCTTATCTCTGCAAACAGTGAATGAGTCTTACTTCTAACCCAGGAAATTCACTGGTCTCAACAACAGCCCAAAGAGTAGTCTCAATTAGTTTAATTTATTCTTAATTTTAATTAATAATTTATTAATTTTAATTATTATTTAAGGTTCAGAACATATAATAAAATTTCACTCTTAGCATCTAGATTAAATTAACTACTTAGAAAAAAGCAGAAAGGTCAATACGCAAACATAAGAGATATTTTTCCTATATTTGGGAAACTTTACCCAAATTGCCTATCCAATTTTAGGAACGTTTAAGATGGTGACAGACCAAGAAGTTAGGCACACAAACTGGTATTTGTATCACCTGGCTATAATATGAACTTTTAGATAAAGGAGGATCTTATTACTGATCAGTTTATTATTTATTTCACATAGTTTCATTTACTCAGGCCACTTCAACACCCCAGAGTGTCTGGGGAGAATTCTAGTGGAACTCACCAAAACGAAGAACGCACCTAGATATCACATTTCTGGACTGTGTCACGAGGCTAGTCTACAAAATACTAACAAATACACACAGCACGTTGTAGGTCTCCAGGGGAACATTCAAATGTTCACAGCCATCTGTTCCAGGTTCAAGTCTATTTGCTATAGCCTGATAGTATTATGTCCCCTTTCTCAATGTTTGCCATCTGCCTCAGGTAGTACTGATATTTCTAAAAGCTCTGAGCTTGACACAAAGGAGGCAAACAGAAATTCCCTCTTCCCTCAACGAGCTTGACAAAGAATGGGACAAACGGGTTGCAAGGTGTGCTCAGAGCAGCTGGGAGTGGCTACCGAGGACGTGTGGAGTGCGCCAGGCAGCAGCTGTTGCGCGGACTTCCTGCGTGACGCGGAAGGTTTCCCTCCACACTCCTAGATGAGGATGATAACTCTCCTAAAGCTCTAACCCAGAGCTGGCAAATTTTTCCTGTTGCAGCTGTTCATATCTGCCGCAGCAAAAAAGCAACTGCAGACACTATGTGAATGAATGAGGCTGGCTCCGTTCCAATAAAACTTTATTATACACAGGCAGTGAGCCAGAATGGACTAACCCCTGTAATCATCTGTGTATACTGGTCCCTTGGAACAGTGGTGGTATTATACAGTACAGAAGCAGAGCCCAAATGGTAAATTCATGGAAATCTAAGGAAGGTAAGGAAAATGCACTGAACACATCAAAAAGATTCTCTATCAAGAGAAGAAATAGAAAAAAAAAAAGAGTTAAAAATTGCTATAAAACTAGTAATTAAAAGATAAACAATTCCCAGAATAAATTAACCGGCTGATGGCTGAGAACTGTGAAAGAAGTTTCTTATTCTTTGGATGTTTTGAAGAGGAAATTTTCCAGAAATGATTTAGAATTCCTTCTGACAGGAAAAGGGGATTAGGTTAGATTGCTGGCTTTCCAAAACTGACTCCCTAACAGAGTCATCCGGAGAGACTTCCGGATACTGTGTACCGCCTGAATTCCCAGAATCCCTGGGGGCATGTTTGTTATTATTTTTTGAAGTCCCCTAAGCAATTCTGTTGTCCTCAATCTCACACCAATCCTAGGACTAGCATTTGCATTATTCGTCTGTGGTCTTAAGATAAACCTTAGGGCCGGTGCTGTGTGACATGGTGGATAAAGCTGCAGCCAGCAGTGCCAGCACCCTATATGGGCACCAGTTTGAGTCCCGGCTGCTCTACTTCTGATCCAGTCATGGTCTGGGAAACCAGTAGAAGATGGCTTCAATTCTTGGGCCCTCGCATCTGGGAGGGAGACCTGGAAGAAGCCCCTGGCTCTAGGCTTGGGATCAGATCAGCTCTGGCCTTTGCTGCCATTTGGGGAGTGAACCCCCAGATGGAAGACCTCTCTCTTTCTCTCTCTGCCTCTTCTTCTCTGTAACTTGAAATAAATATATTTTTTAAAGAATTGCAAAAAGTAATTAAAAAAAAAAGATAAACCTCAACAAAACAGTGGTAGACAGGGGTCTTCTCATTTCTTATGTTCTTCCAGTATGCTATGAATGTCAAATTGTCCCTCCAAATATAGGGACATGCAGGTCAGGGGGGAGGAAGGCCTTACATTTCAAAAGCATCGAATCTTTAGTCATCAAGGTCAACATCAGCAAGGAAGCTTCCACTAAGAGGTTTTCCCTGAGCATCAGTTCACACTGACTCCTGCCCTCTTTAAATTGGCTTTGTTCATACACTTCTCCTGATTTTTCAAGGATATATTATCAACATTTAAAGTAGGACAATACTCAAAATGTCATATTAAGTTTTTGTTAATCATGGAAAAAAGTACTTTTGGAGAACACAGGGCTGCTAATCAAGTTTTCCTAAAGGCACATATTTTTAAAGTTCCCCAGGACTCTCTACCATTAGATTTGTTAGACATGTTAGTCTAACAGGTACAGTTAGCTTTTTTTCAACGGAGTTTTAAAAACCTGCCAGTCAACCAAGAGAGATGGACAGCAATGCTCTACCACATATTTCACATATTCATGTTTGTGAACTGCAAAACTTCATGGAATGAAACAAAAAGTTGCTATTTGCATCTTTTGGCACTGGCTGCCACCCTTGTGATGACCATACAGTTCAATGGCATCTGGAGTGTCACATTGAATTTGATGCAGGCACTGCTATCCCCTCAGCAAGACAATAGATTATGCTTTCGTAGAACATTCCGCATTCCATTACGTATGTGTGATGTTTGAGACAAAGCAAGCAGTCTGGGTTGATATTCTCCATTATACATGCCTTTGAAGTTGGGTTTTTAGTGTTTTCATTAAAAGTTACAAATATGAAACCTTTATAAATATGAAAATAATGTAAAAGTACATAAAATTAAGCATGAAAAGCCCCCTCTTTACTGCCCAGTGGTCACCTCTGCTATACACACACCACACCCCACTGGTGTAAATATTTGAAAATGTTAACTATGCATATATAAACATTCATATATGTACATAGTCTTCTTTTTAACCCAAACACGATTATTCTGTACATATTATTTCTCTGTTTTAAATGGAGCTCTTATTTGTATATGTAGACCTATATACTTTTTAAAAACATCTTCATTATATTGTTTAGTTGTATCATACTTTATTTAAACCAGCCCTTACTGATGGACATTGGGTTGTTTTCCTTTTTTTTGTCTGTACCAACAATGCTGCAGTGGGCACCCATATTTATATGTGTGCCCCAAAAAAGCCTAGAGGTGGCAGAAAAACAGAAATTTCTGGGTCAAGGGGAATGAGAATTTTAAATTTCAATAGGTATTGCCAAATTGCCTTCCAAATGGCTCCAGCAATTTATGCAACCATGCCAACAACATATATTATGCCCACTTTCCTATCCTCTTGACAAAGCTCTCTACTCTAAAATTTTTAAATCTGCTCATTTGATAAAAACAACAAATCTACTTTGTTTTCTTAACTTGCATTACCCTCATCACCAGTAAAAAATTATTCCATGTATTTTTTGATCAATTACTTTTCTTAATCTGCGACTGACTCTTCTTCCCCTCTGCTGACATGAATTAAATTGTTTTGAGTCTTTCTGTAACACAAATAGTAAGCACCGGCCTCATTTATTTCAACAAAATAGAATTTTTCATTTTCGTATACTGTCAAGTCTATCTAGTTCTGCCTTTACTGATTTCTGGTTTCTATGCTTTAGAAAGGCCTCTCCTAGCCAGAAAATTATTCTAATAATCCATTTATTTTTGAGAATGTTTCATTTAAGAGAAACCTGGGCCATGGATGCAGAACATTCATGTCTATCTTTCTTTCCCTACTACACAAACTCAAAACATACTTTTACTGCCACGACAATACCCAAAGATTTGTGTACTTACACGAAATTAAAGCGACTGAAAAGAACAAAACATCAAAAAGATGAAGACTTCCTGACAGTTAGGTGGCACTTACCCATTCCCCTTTAACCTCCACCAGGAAAGCAAAGGTTTGAAAGCAAGGCAAAATAGATGTTTAATGAAATGCTTTATTCTTACAGCATATGTAAACTCTACTCATCTAATCAAGCTGAGGGTTAATGAGCCCATTTGAGGAAAATAATTCAATATCATTGCACCAGGATTAGGATTACAGGGCCAGGCCCAAACTGGTTCCCAGAGAGAGAGTAATCCTTTCTCATTAAAATACAGATCACCTGTAACATTTCCATATCCTTGGGAATGGGAACATGCTGTCTCAATTCTTCTGTAAATCTTTTTAAAATTCTGAACCATTCCCATCTTTAAAACAAAACACTAAGAGTAACGCAAAGTCTGATTTCTAAGACTCTTATTTTTATAAGTGAATAACTACATCAAGGAACTACCATTTTGTTTTAGAAAATAGTTGAGGTCAACCACACTGCTTTATTTTCTTTCTTAAATTGGCTCCTACAGTTTTAGTCACAATACGACTAAAGGAAATGAACTATAGCAAAGCAAAATTCTGAACATTTTAAACTGTTAACTTACAGAGTAGGAAAGCAGATTAATAGTATTTAACTCATTACTTTTTACCTAATTTCACACAATTAGACAGAAAAAAAAAAGGATGCTTTGACCCAAGGATACAAATGTTATTGACAATTATGAGAATGATGACAGCATACTTTGCAATTAAAACTGTTTTTTTAAAGGCTACTTATAGTATATTACATGAGTAGTCATCTAAGCTCTGAAGTTATCAGAAACAGATTTAAAAATATGGCACGACTAGGATAATAAAATTGTCTTTAACAACTCTATATTAAAGTGATGACAGGATATGTGTTTAAAACGCCATATTTTAACCTAATAAAAAAGGAAGACGACTGGTTTATACTTCAAAGACCCAGATGCTGGATCATTGGGTTTTACACTCATTGGCAATTTCACAATTGTCAAACAAAGTGCAAGTGGAGAGATGCTCATCATAACAGAAATGACACTCTCACAGGAGTCTTTCTTACCATGACTATGTCTCCCGGCTGGATAGTGATCTCATCATGACTTCTGGATTCAAAGGGGTACAGTGCTCGGTAGTATACCACTTTCACATTCTCCTGAGCAGAAATGGTAAGAGGGCCTTTTTCTGTTTTATGGACAAGGAGAAGAAGGAAACGACACATTACAGGGAACACCAGTGTGTGGCAACAAGCCGAACAACTGACATCTTTATTACCTGGCTTAACATCTGAACTGTTCCCATATGACACAGTTTAAATGTGATTTGCCCCCAGAACTCTTGCAGGATTTTAAACCCCAAAGTCACAGGTTAACAGCACTAAGAGGATAGAAACTTAATCCAATTATGGTGCTTAGGAGGTATGCCTACTCAGGTCACTGGGTGTGTGCCACTGGAAGCTAATTTGCAGGAAGGTTGTTAGCAAAGCCTGAGGTTGGGCCCAGCCTCTCCCTGTGCGTGCCTGCTCACCATGTGACTCTGCTGCATGTCCTCCACCACTGCCGTCCCCCTCATCAGAGCCCAAACCAATGGGGACACCTGCATTGGACTTGAACCTCTTGTGAGCTAAGTTAGCTGCCACGGGCGTCTCACTGTAGTAATGAAAAGCCAGGATACCATCCTTTCAAAGCCTCTCCGAAGCACATACTGCATGCCAAAAGGATGCTGACTCTCAGGGTGAACTGCTCAGAGAGATCACCAGCAGACTCTCCCAACAAAGGCCATTGCCGTGCTGCGAGCGGCAAGGCGGCACACAGGCAGGCCCCTGCCAGCTGCCTCCTGGCCGGGGCTCCAGCAGCACACATCTGTAAAGCATCAGCCCCCTCCGCCCCACGCCTGGTGTTGAGCTCAACACAGCAGTTAGAATAGGACCCCAGGTCTCCACTACATGATGAGCAGAGAAATACAACTTTCTATATTAAAAGACATGGAAATGCTGATGTTTTAGACATTTAACATGGTTCTTTAAAAACATAAGTATTGATTTAGCTTAGTGTAGTTATTAGTGATAATTTACATTTCCTGGGGGGGTGGGGGAATGAGCTTAATGACAGATTCTAGATAAAATAATTTACATCTTAAATAAAGATCTTTAAAAACGTATGTGAGCAGAGGACATCTTAGATTGTGGTTAACAATAATATCAGTCTTCTGAACTTTAAGTATTTCAACACCTATATCTTATCTGAAAAGCAGCAGGGGGTACAGGTAGAGAAGTAAATATTGTCTCCACGTGGTCTTAAACTGCCTGAGGTACAAGAATAAATCCTCACTTTGTACTAGGTGGAAGCATATGCATCGTAAACTAATTGCCTAGGATCAAGTAATGGTGAAATTCTCTTTAGATCAAAAAATAATTTGTTCCTCCTATGGCCAGCTGCTACTGCGGGATCTGATGACCTGCCAGTCTCTCCCCTGCAATGCACGCACCTCACAGCAGGGAGGGAGCCTGATCAAACTCCAGGAGCCCTCACTCGCATCCCTGTCCGTTGTGCACCCAGGAAGTGAGCAAACTGCCACAGAACTTCCAAGTGTGTTACCCTCTCTTCCTCCGCCGTGACACAGTACCGAAGAAGCACACTGAGGGCCAAACACAATCGATACGATTTGCAACCTCACCCCCCACCCCGCCCCAAATAGCAATCACTTTCTTCAACTGAGTATTATTTGCAAAGCTGTACAATATTATACAACCACACAAGAATTTTAGAAATACATTCTAGCTTGCTTCTAGCACTATCTAAGGGATGGCTTTTTCTAGCTGTTTCACTTAGATCTGTACTTCATTTATCTTAGAGGCAAACTGCACTCATAGGGCAAAACGGTCACTTTTGGAAAGGTAAAAAAACACTGAGTTTACGCAGTGCATACTGGACAGCGAATGCCACGTTGGGGCAGGCAAACGAGGAAGGCGGCGCTTCCCCCTACAGAAACAGCTCTGAAATTCCTGGGCAAATGACCAGCCAGGGAAGCGCCAGGCCCTTTTATGCAGCTCAGGTGACGGCCTCCACTTGGAACACAGGTCTACAGATAGGGTCTGGTATTGGAACTTGACACCACTTTGGTTAACTCTGTTCAGTGCGGTGGAGGCCACGGCTGGCCTGGTGATGGAAGGAAAAATCCTGGGGAGTAAAGAGCCGCATTGCTCAAAAACAAGCCACGGACATGGATGTCCTCATTCTATTAGCAGCCAAGAGAGCTGTCTTAGACGTGGACTTTTCTCGAGGGGCTCTGGGAAAGAAAATGACTTATTTGCTTGCACCGTTTTTTGGCTTCCAATACCTGCGGTGGGCCAGGGTGTTTGGACAGCTGGCTTAGCTGGTTCTTGGTGTTGATGGAAAAAGCGACTCAGCTTGTCTTGCGTTTCCTGTTTGCCTTTTTCCTCGCCCTCCTTCTTCTTGACACTCTCTTCCCTCTTTAGCTTGTCCTCATCCTGGAGTTTTCTTGGCCGCTGATGCTCATCCTCTTGCTGCACGTGCTCCAGCCACTGCTTGTCCCGCTCCTGAGCTCGTCTGCCAACAAAATGCTGGATTACAGCGAGGAAGCAGCAGCAGTGACAGGCCTGGTGTCTCTTGTCACTGCTGAACTCCCTCCAGTCAGGGGATGCTCGTCCCGCGGACCAGCTGACCCACTGAAGCAAAGCCCTTCAGGGAGCCAATGCTGAGATGAAATCATGATTTGGAAAAAACACAGGAAGAAAATTTCTGCTGTATTTTACAAGGTAGTTACAAAAATACTTTGCTACATTGAAATGTATTAAACTGCGAAACAAAATTCAAAAACATGAAATTCATAAAACAGACAAACATAACTTTCATGAACCACAGTATACCAACACCGCAAAGAAAACACTGTTTAAATAAGGCCACGATCACTCAGATCATTAAAACTCCTTAGCTGAGGGTACACCTCGATTACAAGCACACTCGATGCTAGCAAAACCTTCTTGAAAGAAAAAGACTGTTTTACTGACTTCAACTATTTGGGACTTTGATTTTCAAAGTAGCTGACATAGACAGATCATTGCAATTAAACCTAGGCCTTGAAGATTATGATGGGGACTGGCACTATGGTGGAGTAGGTTAAGCCTCCATCTGCAGCACCAGCGTCCCATATGAGTGCTGGTTCTGCTCCACTTCTGATCCAGCTCCCTGCTAATGGCCTGGGAAAGTAGTGAAGGATGACCCAAGTGCTTGGGCCCCTGGGCCCACATGGGAGACCTGGAAGAAACTCCTGCCTCCAGGCTTCAGATCAGCCCAGATCCAGCCATGAAGCCATTGGGGAGTGAACCAGTGAATGGAAGACCTTTCTGTCCGTAATTCTCCTTCTCTCTGTAACTCTCCCCTTTCTCTGTAACTCTTCCTCTCAAATAAATAAATAAATAAATAAATCTTAAAAGAAAACTAGGATGGCCTCAGGACAGTCACCGTGGCACAGCAGGTGAAGCCGCCACCTGGGACACCTGCATCCACTTAGGAGAGCCAGTTCCAGTCCCGGCTCCTCTGCATCTCATCCGGTTTTCTGCTAGGGCCCCTGCCACCCACTCAGGAGACCCAGATGGAGTTCCAGACGCCTGACGTTGGCCCAGCCCAGCCCTGGCTGTTGCTGGAATTTGGAGAATGTACCAGCAGATGGAAAAATCTCTTTCCATCACTCTACCTTTCAAATAAATACACAAATCTTTGGAAAAAAAAAAGAAAATTATGATGGCCCCAACCTGAAGCTCCCAGGAAAAGACTGGGAATGATTTTTCTCAAATTCAGAAAATAGATTAAATGAACCAGTATGCAATAATAAATGATATCATGAGAATGATAAAAAGTAGCTTTCCATACCCCTTTAACCAGGTAGGCAGCACCTATTAATATCCGATTTTACAGGTGGGAAAGCTGAGGCAGAGGTAGTAAATGACTTGTCCGAGTCACATGGCCACAGGTGTCTCATGTTCGATCCTGGTTTCAAAGTCTCCACTCTGAACCACTATCTGGTATGACCAGCACACAAGCGTCACCTTTTGGATTCAGGAAACTGCCATGTCACACAATGTAAACAAATTATACCTCCATTCTCCACTGCTGAAAATTCACTTCTACTTGGAATGTGGAAATTCAGTGCAGAATTCCTTTTAACTTAAACATTTTACTTAGAAATTTCAAAGCATCTCCTAAAGAAGCATAGAGAACACATTTTGGGAGGGATAGGGTGTTAACTGTTACCATAAACCACAAAAAAATTAAAATTAAAATTGTTTAAAATTTTCTACCAAAAAGATCACCATTTATATCATTCATAATCATCTAATTTCTGAAATCAAAATGTGGGGACTTTATAAATATAATTGGACTATGTATTATATGGTCTATTTATTAGGATTTTCCTATATTATATTTTCTGTTTATTTCTATTCTGTGGGAAAGTAAATGTTTAATGTAGTAAAAAATACTAAATAATAAAAGCATTTAATAAACTTTGAAGACAAGAAAAAGATGGCTTTAACCAACATACTCTGGAGTTAATCCTAAATCTCACCCCCAAGAAAACCATAACTATTTTTCTGAACAGCTTTAAGACTTTGCCACCTTCCACTGGCATTAAAAAAACAATATAAACAAACACACACAGAAGAAAATAGTACTATCTAGCTTCATGGTTAGGTGGGCTGAGCTCTGTGCGGTTGTGATGTGCCCAGCCCACTGACATCAAAGACCTGCCTCATGACTGTTTCAGTTTAATTTCCATAACAAGTGTTTATAATTTATAGTATATCATTGGGACAGTTAGCCGTTCTTGTTTCTTAGAGTCTAAAACTAACAAAAGCAAGCATTTTTTAAAAAAATATTTACTTATTTACTTGAAAAGCAGAGCTACAGAGAAAGAGAAAGAGAGAAATCTTCCTTCTGTGGGCTCACTCCCCAAATGGCTGTAACAGCCAGGGTTGGGCTGGGCGGAAGCCAGGAACCAGGAACTCCAAACACCTGGGGCATCTTCCATGGCTTTCCCCTGTGTGTTAGCAGGGAGCTGGAGCAGAGGTGGAACAGCACAGACTCAAACCAGAACCCTGATACAGGACGTTGACGTCACAAGCAGCAGTGTAATCTGCCGCGCCACAATGCCAGGCCCAGGAACAAGCTTTGGGCGCAGTGGCTAAGGCGCACCACCTGGGATGCCCTCATCCCATACAACTTGCTTCTGATTCCAGTTTCCGGCTAATGTGCCCTCTGGGAGGCAGCAGGTGACGCGTCAAGTGTTCAGTCCCTGCCACCTGCCTAGGACACCCAGCTGAAGTTCCTGTTCCTGGCTTCTGCCTGGCTTAGCTCCCGCAGTTGCAGACATTTGGGGATGTGAACCTGCAAATGGAAGATTTCTCTCTCTCTCTCAGCCTTTCCAAGAAATAAAAATAAACATCTGGAATGAACTGCAATTTAGAAAGCAAATACCCAGTAACAAAATCAGACACGCCAAAAAGATAATGATTAAATTTCTACAATTTACTACAGGAAAAAACTACCAACACCAATATTCAATAAAAACAGACAACAATGTGTCTGCATTCTAAACTGAGATGCCAGTTCTTCTCCTTTTGGAGTCAAGCTGAATTTGCAGTTGAAAACAGGGAGAAAGAGGAAGACAGAGTGGCACTCTGAGTCGGCTGGGGACGCCCTTGGTGGCACGCTAACTCAGGGGTTTTGGTTTCACATCAGGCTCTCTGGTTGCCACTGTTATTAAAAGGCTGTGAACCGGAAACGTATTTTAGTCATTAGCATGCAAATGAGCATTCCAAGTGTCCCAATTTCCTGTATAATTCCATTTATCTAAATAGTAGTAGCTTGGGAGCATTCTGTGAACTAACCAAAAACTTCAGGGGGTACTTATATATGCAACGATTTATATATACACGTGTTTGCGTTCACAAAAGCAACCCACACATGTACATGTTAATGGATCTTTCTGGCGCTGTGACAACTTGGAGAAGCCAAAGAATAGGGAATACTAAAAGTTCTTCCAGATGGATCCACTACCCACTGAAAAGACTTACCTTTGGGCTTCCTCTTTCTGTTTCTCTAATTCTATTATCTTTCGCTCCTGTTCTTTCTGTTTCAGTCGCTCAGCCTCTATGGACTTTTGTTTCTGGAGTTGTTGTTTATTATGCATTTCTCTTAGTTCCTGTAAGATAATCAAGAAACAGTTTATGTAATGACAGGAAGCCATAGACCAGTCAACTGTAAACATGCAACATTTTATGGTGGGGAAGGCTAGGGCACTTGGGAGACAACATTTAGGGTTGAAAAACGATAACTTGGAAGACTCAAATCACTCTCCATGTTGACATGACTCATCTCCAGCGGCTGCTTAACTCCACATTCCAGCGAGTCTAACGCATTATACTGTTTGCCATGTTTTGCTTTAGAAATCACTCACTCACTAGAGATGGGCGGAAGAGGAGCTTAACTGCTAAAGGTGCAACAATAATACTGGCATGCAACCAGCTTTAGAAACGGCAAGGATCAGGAATAAAGTCTCCTTGTTCTTCTGATAACAAATCGACACCAACTTCGACTGGCTTGGAAAACACATGACAGCTCTTCATACCCTACCTCCATTAAAAACCTCACTTCCCTCTTAGGATACACTGCTCAGAACAAATGGACTTCTCTGCTCCATGACCTTTCTCTTTCCCCCAGCGTCTATTTTCCTTCAAACAGCACCTCTTCACTCACTACATCCACGTCTGATTCAACTGCCCCAGGTTGAAGTAAAAAGGCTATAATCTGCTGACCACCGCGGCTCCAATCTCCTCATCTCACGCTTGCTCCAGGAATAGCAGTAATTTCCTTGGAAGGCTACTCAAAAAAGTTCTATGATATTTAAAGCAAATGGAAAACACCCAAAAGTAGGAGGAATAAGAGAACATCTGTCGAGGGAGAAACCGGCTCTTTGCACAGAAATCAAATGGCCACCAACCGATTCAATTACAGAAGCTCCCCTTACTTGGGTCAGCAACAAATCGGATGAGTCAAAGTGGGTAGCAAAGTAAAGGATGTATTTCTAGTTACATTCTGTGTGGCTAAAGAGGGCTGTCCTCCAGATGGGTAGTTCAGGGTGTGCATATGGTCAGATTTAAGGACTAAGACCTGCCTTGATAACTGGAAACTCTAAATGGTCACATTGTCTTCTAGGTCTAAATTCCTACCCTTCAGCTTCTTTCTGAGACTGAACAAATCGATGGAAGAGAGTGGCAGATAGAGGGCTTATCTGAAACAGGCCAGGGTTAAAATGTGCTTGGGACTAGAGGAAGGCCAAATAGGTTAGTCTAATCTTTTCATACTGGTTAACTGCCCTGAGCATAAAGTTAGAATGCACCTACAAGTGCTTTTCAAATGTAAGTGATTTTAAGAAGAGGAACGAGATATAAGAAACAGTTTAACTTAAGATTGGGGGATGGAGAAAGGTACTTGGGGGAACACTGGAGGAACGGAGAAGGGAGGGGGACCGGCAGGCCTCTGGCGTGGGAGAACTCAGCAGGAGCTGCTGGCCGATCCAGGCAGGGGGCAGCGGTCGGAGATGACTCTGTACAAGTCCCTATGGCAGGAGCTCTGGGCACATGGCTTCCAAAGCAGGAAGAGCTTGTGGGACAGCAGCTTAGCTAAGCAGGGGGAAGAAAAGGCCAAGGATGGAGAAGGCTCACTGTGAGTGCTCAAAGTTCCGAGACAAGGAAATCAACACCCGGGAAAAAAGACTGCCAGTTCTCATCATCCCTCTCACTGTCACACCATGGGATGTAAAACTTAATTTCAGTGTGTTAAAAATTCACCTGTAGTTGCTTCCATAGTGATTTACAATCAAGAATAAACAGGAATTTTTAATAACATGAATCAACAGTCACACTACTTTTTTGATTTTGGTATTTCAGAGACGTATCGAATAACAGGGTCAGTTCCTACCATTAAGAGAAATCTACATTTGGGCTCCTTAGTTTCTCACCATGAAAACAAAAACTATATAAGAATGTCACTAACTCAAACTCTGAGTGTCCTGAGAGGGAACAGAGCCAGAAAAGCAAGTCCGCACACAGACAGCGTGAGCCTACTCCATCATTAGCCCAAAGGCAGAGAGTCCCTTTAACAGGAAGGGTAGGAAGTAAAGGAAAGACTGACACTTTGGGAGGCCAGTATTGAGCCCAGTTGGTTAGTTAGGCCACAGCCTGCAATGATGCTGGCATCCTGTCTCATGGCCCTGCTTCGAACTCCGGCTGCTCTGCTTCTAAACCAGCTCTGGACTAATGTATGTGGGAAGGCAGCAAAAGATGGCTCAGGTCCTTGGACCCACCACCCCCAAGACCTGGATGCAGTTCCTGGCTCCTGGCTTCAGCCGGCTCAGCATCAGCCTTGCAGCCATTTGGGGAGCGAACCAGCAGATGGAAGACTCTATCTCTGACTCTGTCATTTTGGCTTTCAAATAAATACTTGAAAAAAATTTTAATTTTCTCCCTATTTTAAAATTTCACCTTCAATAACATTAAAAAAAAACCATAAGTTGGTTCAGAAAGAATAATTATGGCAAAAGACTATAATTAAAGGTTACCAAACTGGGAACTAAGAAACCAGGATTTAACAGGAGGCCCCTGACTTGGCAGCCAGAGCACCTTTGGGATTTCTTTCAGCAGTAGGATTTGCTGACGTCTCAGACTGTTCACCACGTGACACTACATTCTTCATTTCAGTGTCTCTGGACTTAAGGTTTTATTCTTACAGCAGGAATAAACCAGAAAGGTAGAAAAAAAAATAGAACAAAGAGCCAAAATTAAACACAAAGAAGTAAGAAATGAGAGGGGAGGAATAACATTTTTGTCTGATGTTAGGGAAGCTGATTATATATTTAAGAAAGAAAAGTTATTTCATCCAGGAAACATGTATTTACAGCAGAATGATAGTCAAAAGATTTGACAGTCGGCACTGCACAACCAGGCAGAACCTGGTCAGGGTGCACCAATGCATCAGACAGCCATGGACACACATACAGGTTTCTGGGAACTTCTGGGGACTTCCCATGTTGCCAGAGAATTACAATACATTTCCTTTCTACGCTGAGCTCCAGTCAACAGATGTGCACACTGGACAGTTAAGACAGATGAAAATAACATTAGTAATATGTTAAGAAAAACTTTTACAAAGAAGAGCAATGGATAAGGAGTGAATTTGAAGATTCTACAGGGAAAAAAATCATCTCAATAAATTTTAAAACTAATTTTTAAGAGGCTGGCGCTGTGGTGTAGTGAGTAAAGCCACTGCCTGCAGTGCTGGAATCCTATTTGGGCACTGGTTCGAGTCCCGGCTGCTCCACTTCCAATCCAGCTCTCTGCTGTGGCCTGGGAAAGCAGTGGAAGATGGCCCAAGTGCTTGGGCCTCTGCACCCGCATGGGAGACCCGGAAGAAGCTCCAGGCTCCTGGCTTCAGATCAGCCCAGCTCCGGCTGTTGTGGCCATTTGGGGAGTAAACCAATAGATGAAGACCTCTCTCTCTATCTCTGCAACTGAGCCTTTCAAATAATAAATAAATCTTTAAAACATTCAAAAAGATTCAAGTACAACGAGTAATTTTAGAGCACCCTTTTTAATTCTTTCCAAGAGGAAAAACTTCAAGGTGAAAATGAATTTGGTGTCATTAGTATCAAGAGTTAGTATCTCAGTCATGGCTCATTCTAAAAATAATTTTTTTCCCAAAATCAATTAACTCTATTGCCATACATCTCTTGGCTAGATATCTATCTAGCGACACGGTATTGATTGCACATCAATGAGTTCTACTCAAGGGTACAGTATGTTTTACAATAGGTAAAGCGCAATAATCCAACATCATTTTCATTTTTTAAGATTTATTTGTTTATTTGAAAGGCAGAGTGAGAGAGAGAGGGAAAAGACACAGAGATATATTCCATCTGCTGGTTCATTACCCAAATGTCTGCAACAGCCAAGGCCAGCCCAGGTAGCAGTCAAGAGTCGGGAACTCCACTGGGTGTCCCCTGTGGGTGGTAGGAACCCATGGACATGGGCCATCATCCACTGTCTCCCAGGTGGCAGCTTAACCTGCTGGGCCACAGTGCCTGCCCCCAACATTAGCTTTTGATAAAGCATAATACTTAACAAATAAGAAATTATTAAAGAAGCATTCAGGTAGTTTTACTTAAATATTACAAACATACGGGAGAAATAAATCTATAAAATGACTAGTATATCTAAATTAAAATAAGAATTCTATCACCAACAAAATATATAGAATTGTAATGCTAAAAAGCATTTCCTAGCCAGGGCATAACGAAGCTCGGGCCCTGTGAATACCACGAAACTACAGGCAAACTTGAGTTACATGAGCATTTTTCTGGCAGAGATAGCGTGTTACTATTATTAGAGTCTCAAGATGGTGCTTGATCCAACACAGATTACAAACCACCATAAAAAAATTGGCACAGATTTTGTCTAGTATTAGTTAAGATAAAATAAAAATCAGCTTGCTTTCAGTATCTTACCATAGACCAAAAAGACAAAAATCACATTTCTCCTAAACAAGATCTTTGGATCCTAAAACATCTTTGGACATCTTATGGTATGAAGCCCAAGTATTTCAAAAGCAATAACCTTGACAAATCGAATCCTGAAGAAGATCCCACTATTTTTCCACTGAGAAATAAGGTGCATTTTCAAGCCTACTGAAGATGGTTACTCTACTGCTAAGGCGAAGGGCACAGAATCCCTTGATTTCATACCCATGACTGGTTCTTCATTTGGCCTGACACTCATGCTAGGGGAAGTGATGTGACCTGAAATGCAAAGTGTCCACCAAACAAGATGAATGGGATTTGCTTTCATAAACATTACGTTGTATACATGCTAGTGCAGAGAAAAAGAACTAATTAGCACTAGGTGCCTATGAAAGGAGACTAGCAGTTAAGGAAAATTTATTTGCTAATTATGACATCTAATTGTTGATGGATTATTTTGCTTTTGGTTTTTACACCAGAATGTCTCTTGGAAATGAGACAAAAACAAACATAACTTCATTAATTACTCAAAATTCATGAACTCAACACCGTAAATCAAAACAAAATCTTTAGAATACATGTCATCCTTCTAGCAGTTCTTGTACTTTTAACAATGAAATGATCTCATA